TTTTGGCGGGAAAAGTGATCCCCCAATTTTTCCCGCCAAAACACTTGTAAAAATTTGTAAAACCTTTAAAATACCTTGTAAAATTTTCCCGTAAAATTTTTTCCCGCCAAAAAATTTTCCCGCCAAAAAAATTTTTTTACGGGAAAAGTGATTCCGCAAATTTTTTGGCGTTAAATTTTTGGCGGGAAAAATTTACAAGGTATTTTACAAGCTATTTTATAAGGTTTTACAAGTTATAAATACCTTATAAAACCTTATAAGTACCTTGTAAAACCTTTTAAAATACATTGTAAAACCTTACAAAACACTTGTAAATACTCCGTAAAACCTTTAAAATACCTTGTAAATTTTTCCCGCCAAAAATTTTCCCGCCAAAAAAATTGCGGAATCACTTTTCCCGCAAAAAAAATTTTTTGGCGGGAAAATTTTTTGGCGGGAAAAATTTTTACGGGAAAATTTTACAAGGTATTTTAAAGGTTTTTACAAGTGTTTTGGCGGGAAAATTGCGGGATCACTTTTCCCGCCAAAAAATATTTTGTATTTTTTGGACCTAATTTTGTTTCAAATAAGGGTAAAATGGTCACTAAAAATTAAAAGAGGGCAAACTTAAAAATGGACTCTCAAAAGGGGCATTTTTGAAAAGAGGTATTGAAAAGGGGGCATTTTTAACAATTTCTCTTTATAAAATAGATTATACGTAATTAATGTATAATATTGTTCGGATTATGATTTTATAATTAGTTACCATAAGTACAATAAAATTTTATTTGATTTCCATAAACATTTGATTTTAGTTCAATTTTTCATTATTAATTCGAATTTATATTCCAAAAAAATTTCAAAGATCCGATTTCAGAATTTCGGGTCAATATTCTGATTTTGACCCGACCCATTTACATTTGTACTTCTCTTTTAATAGTATAGAGATAATTTCGTATTACTGATAGCAATAAAATGGAATACATTTTAATCATTTTGTAAATTTGTTAAATAGGTATTTAGAAAAAAAGAATAGAAAAAAAAGCCATGTTCAATAATTCTGTATTCCTGATTCCCATGTTTGATTTAGTACCTTTTATATGATTTTCTAACAAGTGGTACTGTGGTAGTAACACCAATCATAACCTATATCACTTTCAAAACAAGAATGATTCATATATGTTATTTTAATAAACTAGGTGAAAAAAAGATGAATCAGGCCAAAAAATGGTTGATGATGGGTTGGATCAGAAATGATCATATTAAACAGTGAGAGTGACACCACTTTTTAAAACACAAAACTAGTAGTAAGTAACTAAACAAAACCCACTGTAAAAGTAAGAACAAACAAAAAAGGCCTGTGCCTATATGGTTTTTCACCTTTTGTTTCGACTTTCACCTAAAAGATATCAATCCGTACAAGAGACACACGATATACGGACTTAATCAGTCTTCTTGTCTTCTCCATCAATGGCCCGAAGCCTTTCAACAAGAGGAGGATGCGAGTAGTGATAAGCTGAGTACAATGGATCAGTGTTCATTGCTGACAAGTTCTCTTCCTGCAAAATCCCAACCAAAAAAAAAAATACCATTTTAAGTATGATACAAATTGAGGTAACAGTTTGTGTTTCTGTTGTTGTCTTCTCTGACCTGTAGTTTCACTAGAGCAGGACGAAGATCTTTTGCATAGCCAAGCTTCACAGCAAAAGCATCAGCCTTCAAAAGGAACATTAATTCAGATTTCGTATAGGCTGCCATTGCAAGAAAGAAACTATGATTGGATCTTGAGTGATTATAAGAATTTACCTGAAACTCAAAGGCTCGACTAACAAGGTTGAGGCCAAAGCTTACTAGATGTTGTAGTGGTATTACAGTGTGCTGTGAAAATCAGACAGGAGATATAAGTTAGGTTTGAAGTTTTTTCCTTCTTGTTTCATAAGATTAGTGTCCAAAAGCAAACATATCAAACCTGAAATATGATCAAACCAATGAGAACAGGCTGTGTATCAAATCCAAAACTACTGAAGAGATCAGTGGAGTTTCTGACAAGAGTGTATCCTCCAAATTGCAAGAAGGCAAGGATCTGCAATCAAAACATTGAGAGAGGGTCATAAGACATGATTTCTTAAGTGAAATGAGTAAAATAAGTTTTTGAACTGTCAGTTGAGGCTCACTTGAACTGCAATGAACGAGTATGTAGTGTGATTCAGTTTCCAATGTCCAAGCTCGTGTGCAATAACCGCCACAATTTCATCCTCATTCTTGCACTGCACAATAGAAGATTATGTTATGTTTCAGAACCAGAATCAGAATGTGGGTATAGCTCGTTTGAAGCATCGAGAGTCACAGTACCTGCTGAATCAATGTATCATAAAGAACAATCCTTTTGTTCTTGAAGAAACCATACATGTAAGCCTGTAAGATGTAACAAGAAACGTGAGCTTCTAATGGTAATCTAGTAAAGTAGGTATGTAGAGATCTCAAGCCTCTCACATTGCTATGACTTGACCTCGTAGATCCATCCACAACAAACAGCTTCTTCAGAGGAAACTTTAAAGAAGAAGCAAGTTTCTCAATTTTCTCCCGGAGGTCTCCATCTGGAAGCTATAGCCATAGAAAAGTGGTATGTTAAATTGTCTGATAACAACATAATGCAAACAATCAGTGATTTGTAAATTGGCCATGACAGAAATACTCACAGGGGTGAACTTGTTGAAAAGCGGTGCTATCAAGACAGGGTATATAGTCATCATCACTAGAGACAGGATAAACATGAATGCCCACAGATAGATGGCAAGATAAGGACCTCCTTTCTGGAAAAATATAGAAACTTCATATTCAGAGAAGTAAATTATAACTTTTGAATGCTGTTCAGAGAAGTAAACTTCATGCTCAGAGAAGTAAACTTCATGCTCAGAGAAGTAAACTTCATGCTCAGAGAAGTAAATAATAAAATTGAAACTTTGAAGCTCACACTCAGTGAAGAATAGTCATCTATGTGAAAAACAAAGAAATAAGATGAATCCAGAAATCAAACCTGGACTATAAAAATAATCGCAGCAACAATGGGTGGGCCTAGTATGACAGACAGGAATGTTCCTTTGATCATGTCCCTAATGAACATCCATATTGTTTGCTGTCAACAGAATTTAGAAGCAAATTTAATCCACATCTCCAATAAAGAAACGCTAAATCACAAAGTAGAGTTGGAAATACGACATACTTTGTTGAACCCATGCCGAGACTCGATCACGAAAGTTGAGTACAAAGAAAAGGGCAAATCGGTGATCTGCATCAGAATATAAAAGATATATTATTATCTTAAGAAAATAGATATTATGATCCCAATTCCCAAATGTATAGTAGGACTATATGAAGGGGTTAATTTGGAAACCTGTGACCATGTCATAACACCAGCCAAGAATGAAAGAGTATGCAGAATTTCATTCTCTGGATCGAGGCCCAACCTCGGTAGAACAGCTCCAGATATCTAAGGTAAAAATGACAAATTTACAACTGTTATATAACAAATCCATATTCAAAAGGAGATACTATATACTGAAACCAGATATGTACCTTCCAAAACCAAGGCAAGATCCCAAAGAACAAAATTGCAGAGTCCATAAGTATAGTCACAAACTCATGAACAAAGTGAAAATAGCTGCAAAAATGAACTCCCTCAGTCATGATAGCCCTGGCAATTATAACAAACTGACACAATATAATTAAGATAAGACGAACCTTTTGTCAAGACTGTATGCTCGTGATTTCTCAAACTTCTCTTGGCTAATAACTCCAACCAAGGTTTTTGGGAGAGTTGGAAGCTTAAGAGCAGTGAGTTGCCTCAGATCCAAATACGTCTCAAAAATGTACATCACTATCATAAAACCTGTAAGAAAAAAAAAAAAAACAGAAGATGAAATATGAATCTGCTATAAATACAGATACTCCATCACTGAAAATTCAATAACTTTTTGATCAACCAGATATAAAAAGAGCAAATGCTATTCATATGTATTAGTTAAGTTTGCATATATTTTGCCAAGCGATCTCTGTCTGTGTGTACACCACAGGCTCCTGAAATATGGATCTCTTGTACTGACAGAGTTTTGATGCACCAATCCACATTCACAAACGGTTCCACAACACAAAACCCATTTCAAAACAACTCCAAAAAACCCTAGTTGCTGTCACGAACATAATAATACCCTAAAAGGAAAACCCAAAAGATTTTCCCAAAAACTCAAGCTTTATGACTTCAACAAAGAAAAATTTCAAGATTCTCAATTTCCAATCGGGAATGAGGAAAAAAGACTCTGACTTTTCTTCCCAAACCCTATATTTTGGTTAACAGAGAAGCTCCGTACATTCTAAAACCGAGGAAGAGATGATGATATCACAAAAACCTCAGATCAAACGCACGAGTAAGGCAAGAAACAAGTAGGGTTAATAAAACCTCAGATCAAGGTACGCACTATTTGAAAAAGAACAAAATTTAGAAACTAGAAGCAGAGACGATGAAAACAAGCAGTCATGGAATCTCAACACACACAACAAAGAAAGCAAAAACGAAATGCGAAGAGTGAAACACGATAGTAGAATGTCTCAGAGAAGCTTACCCACGACGGTTTCCATGAAAGGAATCGCCATGGCTGAGAAAAGAGTGACCTTGAGCCGCGATGAAAGAGAAGCACAAATCGAGGAACCAAGATGAACGACAAAAGAGAGGTTTTTGAGTCTCCTCCTCAGGTCGGTGTGGTGTGATATGTAAAACGACAAAAAAATACGGGTACGGGTTAAAACCTTAATAGCCCAAATAGTAAACGGGCTGAGATTTGGGCCCATATTAAACAACCCCTATATTTTATCTAAAATCTCTTGTAACCCCATAAAGAATTAATTGTGTGATTAGAACGCCCCTGAGTCATTTGTAAATTATAAATATTGGGTGCCTTAATGGAAATATTCTGTTTTAAGGGGGCTAAACGGAAAAATCCTTATCCTCAAACCATCAAGAAATTACGAAAGTGCCATTGGGTTTAGCAAAAGAGAACGCCGAGAGCTCTCTCACTTCTCCTGCAACTTTATCCACTTTGGAGCTTCGACAATGGCGTCTCCTTCGCTTCTGCAGTCTTCTGCTTCTTCATTTCACGGACGTTTTTCTCCTTTAGCGGCTCCATCCTCCGCACGGATGCGATCTCCGCCGCTCAGAAACTTGGTGAAAGTCTCGGCCTCTGGAACAGTCCTGGTCGAGAAATCTGAAGCCGAGAAAACTCACCGGCTCAAAACCGCTTACCTGGAGAGGATTATTCCTGCGCTCAAAGATGAGTTCAAGTACGTTAATATTCACCAGGTAACCCCAAATTCTATCCTTTGAGCCCAAACCTAGTTTTGGTTCTGTTGCGATTCATGATGTTGTTGAAGTTTAATTCTCTGTGGATTTGGATTTTTGGGGGAATGTGGGGCTGGTTGTGTATATTTCGTAACACATAATTTGCTTTTCTTGATAAATTTGTGTGTTTATTGGATTGATTCTTCTAGAAAATGTATTGAAGAAGCCTAAATTTAAAGCTTGTTGTGCTGGTAAAAAGTACTTCTTATTTGGGTCTTGTTCCATATTTTAACATGAAGTCTGTCACTCTCATCTTTAATGACATCTTCTCTTCTAGGTTCCAAAGGTACAGAAGATTGTAGTGAATTGTGGTATTGGAGATGCAGCGCAGAACGACAAGGGTTTGGAGGCTGCAATGAAGGATATCGCGCTTATTACAGGGCAGAAACCTATTAAGACACGAGCTAGAGCTTCCATTGCTACTTTCAAGATCAGGGAAGATCAACCCCTTGGGATTGCTGTCACTCTCAGAGGAGACGTGAGCTCATTTCTCTTACTCATTTCTTGAATCAAACTTTTTCTTATTGAGTTAAATTAGACATTTGTGATTTTGACTGTTGTGACAGGTAATGTACTCATTCTTGGATCGTCTTATCAACTTAGCGCTTCCGAGAACTCGAGATTTCCAAGGCGTGAGCCCCAGTAGCTTTGATGGGAACGGAAACTACAGTATTGGTGTGAAAGACCAAGGTGTATTCCCTGAGATCAGGTTAGTTCTATTGTATCTTCCCTCTAAATCAAAGCTACTAACAAGTTTCCATGAAGCTTGTTATCCACTGGTTCGTCAGGATCAAGCATGGGTTCCCTTTAGTACACACTCTTTGGTTACAACCGAACAACTAAACTCTGTGTTGGTTGGTTATTACACTATAGATTTGATGCCGTTGGAAAAACGAGAGGAATGGATGTATGCATCAGCACGACGGCTAAAACAGATCAAGAAGGACAGAAACTATTGGCTCTGATGGGAATGCCTTTCAGGGAAGGAGGTGGTGGCAACACAGGCGCAATAGTGCGGAAGAAGAAACTAAAGTCTCATCATTTTGATGCTAAAGGAAAAGGAAAGACAAAGAGATGAACAGAGCTGCCTGTTGTATGTATTGTCTTCTGTAACCATTTCATGTTTCAGAAAACCCCCTCCTTTTGTAATGTTTTATGAGTTAATTTGAAAATAATATCAGGGATCTTGTTATTGTTGAAGAAATTTATTAAGGTATTTCTGTAATTCTTGAAAGTTTGTGGGAACAGTTGAAATTAACCATAAGAAATTAGCGCGTGAGTTAACGTGAAAAGCAGGCGCGTGGATTGTCAATTTTTTACCTTCCTCTTTGAGAGAAATTTCTCTTCTTGTCTCTCTCTTCGTTGTAAGACTTGGTTTCTTCGATCTTCTCTTTTTTTTTCATCAATCGATCAAAAACACAGCAAGAGCAAAATTATCTTTCTGCAGATCGAAACCCTAATTGTTTTCTCCGTTCTCCTTTTTTTTTCTAGAATCCGCGACTCTTTTTTTTGTTTTTTTTGTTTCTTTCTATTTATCTTTTTCTGATGGATTCTGGAATCCTTGTAATTCCCCATTAGCGTTAAAAACCCTAGCTGTCGAAGACCTTAGATTACTTCAGAAAAAACTATAATATGTTTCATCCTCTCCCGATTTGAGGTTTTTGGATTTTGTTTGGGGTGAGAATTGGGGGGAATCCGATACGAGAGATTAGCCTTCTGACTTTAGGATGAGCTAGTTTTTTTTTGGTTTTTAGCTGAAATTTTCTTCAGTTGTGGGTGAGAAATCTTAGATTTTCCTTCTCTGAATCTTACACTGTACATATAGCTAGATCCTGATGAAGTTGCTGGTGGTGTGAAACGTGGGTTGAGATTTTTCTAGTTGGGATATTATTGGTGGTTACTAGAGAGAGAGCTGGAAAATATTTTAGGCGCTGTGATATTGAAGATCATATTCACGGTTTTACCAAATTTTTAGAAGATTTTGCGTTTTGGGGGTGTTTACTATAGGCTACTACTGTAGAGTTACTTGATTAAGAGTTACTGGTGTTTTTTGGCCTCAATCAGCTAAGATTTTGTGCACCGCCTGCATTGTATCATGAGTATAGCAAATGAACAACAGTTTGCCATGGATCAACTTGTCGAAACCAATGATGATTCGGAAAAGTATGTTTATCTGTTTTTGTAAATCATTTCTCTGTTTTGCTTCTCATTGTACATTTCTCAGCTGCAGTTGTTATTGTTTTTTCGCGTTGAATCAGGAAACCAAGAATTTCATACACGAGGAAGTTTCTCTTATCCTTGAGCGAGAAAGATGTTTGCAAGAAGCTGCCAAATCTACCCAGTGAATTTGATGAAGCACTGTTGCTGTGAGACTCTATTTGATATTAGTTTGTATTTCTAGAAACTGTGTAAATGTGTTTGATCATGTTGTCTTCTTATCTACTATACTATCTGGTTTGGAGTGACATGTCTTGATTTGTACACTCTTTATTTGAGCAGAGACTTCGAAGATCCTTCACCCGAGCGAGTGAGAATTTCAGGCGATTTTTCGTCGCATGGTTTCAGGCGGAATGACTATAGTTCATCGCCTCCCACCAGGGGTGAATTAGGTAGTAACTCTCGAGGCATCCATGGAAGATGGGAGGGGCGCTCAGGTGGATGGAATGATAAAGATAGTGATTCACAGTCAGACCGGGACTCAGGTAGCCGGAGCTTACTCGTATCCCATTCTTTACATGCTGTATGATGACGTTACTACAGTAACAAGGTGGACTAGTACTCTGAATAGTACCTTGTTGTTATCTTTGACCTATAAAATACTCCTACGAATTATATCTTTGAGCAAAAAAGTGTTCATTATTATGATTTCAACTCTATCCAGCTGGCTGTTCAATATGCGTAAATGTGGATTTCCACTTTTTTTACTAAGTGAATGGCATGAAGTCTGCTTGTCTAGTGAACATGAAAAGAAGGCCTTAGCGAAAAATTCTGGAATTTGGTGTATTATAGTTGATTTTGAACTGTATATTTTGTTAGGAGAGCCTGGAAGGCGTTCTGGTATGCCATCTCGGAGGCCTTGGCAAGCACCTGAGCATGATGGACTTCTGGGGAAAGGTTCTTTCCCTAAGCCTTCTGGATTTGGTGCGGGAACATCTGCCCCTAGACCTCAATCTAATGACCCACATCAGTTGAGTAGAACCAATGAACCTTACCATCCTCCTCGCCCATACAAGGTTAAGTACCCAAATATCTGCTGTAGTCATATTAAATAGTCTCTGCTACCATTGATTGCTGAATACTGATCCATCACGTTGCTGGGTTTCATCAGCTGGTGTATTTGAGTAATTTTGTATGAGTTAACGGCACAGATTCCTAAATCTCTCATGTACATTTGTAGGCGCCACCTTTCACTAGACGTGACACTAGAGATTCATTCAATGATGAAACATTTGGCTCTTCTGATTCTACTAGTGAAGATAGAGCAGAAGAAGAAAGAAAAAGAAGAGGTACAGAGGATCTATTGACTTTGATCTGTACTAAACTTAGCTCTCTGCCAGTTTGTGAACTTCTTTCAGTTAATCCATGCGTTTCTTTTTGTGTCAATCTTTTCTCAACTCTCCGTCAGCTTCTTTTGAGTTGTTGAGGAAGGAACATCAAAAAGCATTCCAGGAGAGACAAAAATCAAACCCAGACTTACGCAAAAACGACTTTGATTTTACTGAACTTCTTGGGGAGTCTAAAGATGAAAAAGGGCGTCCAAGTAGAAGCGATGAAGTCAATCACACTCCAACAATTCCTGGTTCTAGTAACACCTCTTTTCCTTCTCAAAGTAATGCACCCAGACCGCTTGTACCTCCTGGTTTTGCAAGCACAATTTTGGAAAAAAAGCAAGGGGAAAAACCTCAAGTAAGTCGCTATCTTCCTGAGACCCTCATCCATACCTAATATCTGTGTTCCATGAAGGTTTCATTTTTGTTTGCATATTGATTGTTAAAGTCGTAAGGCTAGCAAAATCCCAGAAGAAAATCAAAATAGAGGGGCTTTATGATAATATTTGAATCTTCTCACAAATATAAGGTACAAATTTTAGAAGTTGCTTTCATATAGAAATAGTTGGAGAGGGGAATATGTTACTAGAACTATGCAAGTCCTGATAGAATGATTCTCTGCAATTCATGACAGTAAAGTCAAAGTAAAAGTGCATGCCTAGTTCTTCTGACAAGTGACAAGCTTTGAACATACTCTTTTGATTCTTTCTTATAGAGGGTAAGTCGTGTAGAGTAAGGGAATGTGGGAGTAGAGTAAATAATTTTATTGCTTGAATATCAAGTAAACTAGGAAAATAGAAATAAAAACCTAACTCACAAAATCTCATAAAAAATCCCATGATACAAGCTGAACTGTTCATCTTTGATTGATATTATCTCCTAGAAGAAACCCAATTCCTTCAATAACTCATTCGTTGGGTGTATGTGATCCAAGGCTGTGGTCTCTTGATCTATCACTTCCATTGGACATCATTCGCTGACTGCAAATCAGTGAGGGTTGAAGTTTGAGTGTGGTGGCTTTTGTTTTAATTTATCTTTTCTTCGCAAATGTTTTGTTTGAATGTATAACTCTGATTAGTACTTTCTTTAGCTAAGCATTCCACTATCTTTGGTCGCACCTGTTATTTACTGGTTATCACACCATTTGCAGATTGATTCTTCTCAATATGAGCGTAGTCCTTTAAATTCCAAAGGCATTAATGTGGTGAATGGAACATCTGTTAATAATGGGGGAAAACCGTTGGGAATTAAGATAGGTTCAAGTGAGATGCTGATAGAAGGTGAAGATGTTCGTGTTTCCTCCACTGATGCAAATGAACGGGCTGTTAATATCTCTTCATTTCTAGGAATATCTACAGATACAGTTAATAAGGATAAAAGTTTTGAAAAGCTTTCGTCAATCTCAACTCCTACTGAAACTCAGGGGTATCCTAGAAAAAGTGAGCAAGCTACAATGACGCTGGACAAGAAGAAAAGCTTGGAGATTTCAGATGGGGCATCAATTCTGGATAAGATATTCAACACCGCTATAAATTTGAATAGTGGTGACTCCTCTAATATGAATAAGGTTAGTTTTTTTCTAATGTTATGTAACTTAGCTCGTGTATCCCTGGAACTTAAAATTCTACTCACATGATAGCTCTTGATCGTTTGCTAATCCTCAGATATCTATTATCGATATGCACTTCATTTTTGGTCCAAATGATGCATCTTTCTTTCTGATGTAGTTTCCTCCAGCCAGTCGTAGATGAGGCTTTTTTCCTATAATCTGTATTGATCATGAGCCAGTCGTAGATGAGGCTTTTTTCCTATAATCTGTATTGATCATGAAAAATGATGGATTACATAGTTTGTCTTTTCTCTTAGTAAGCAAATGGTGGTCAATGTGTTATATAAAGCAAATTGAATGCTTGTCCTGAGGAAATGACTGTTTGTTTGTGACATGATAGGGTACACATGTTTATACATGTCCATGTACATGCATCATATATTCCCTGTGGAATTTGAAGAATCTCATTTGACCTGACATTTGTCCACATCTTTGTAGAAAAATGTCGAAAAAGTAGAAGAAATACGAAGCTCTCAGACCATTAATAAATCCTCCAAGTTCGCACATCTATTTCTTGAAGAAGGTAATCAATTTACTGCTTTACTAGAATTGTAACGTTTTTCCATTCTAACATCCTTTTTTTGGTGCAGATAACAAGCCAGTCGAAGATTTCCCATCCAGCGGGCCACCAAGAGGCTTACTGTCACTACTTCAAGGTGGAGATAAATTGCAAACCTTTGACACAAAAGCAAATACCGAACTTCCAACGGATTTTCCTTTTCATGGCCATGCCACTAAAAGCACTGATCAGTTAAGCAGCACTTCGACAAGTAAATCAGTAACAGCTGTTCCACCTGTTCTCACTTGTGAAGACCTTGAGCAGTCTATTCTTTCAGAAGTTAGTGACAGCTATCATCCACCTCCACCACCAGTTGACCAAGACACCAGTGTTTCTTCAGTGAAAAAGACCAAACAACGGAAAACATCTGTTGATGACCAGGCTTCACAGCACCTTCTTTCTTTATTACAGAGAGGTGCAGACCCAAAAATTCAAGATTCCCAGCTACTTTCAGTTACAGAGAGGAGACCACCACCACCATCTGTGAAATCAAATACAGCTGGAGAAGCAGATCCAGGGAAGTCTTTGACTCTTGAGAATCTATTTGGGAGTGCCTTCATGAACGAACTGCAGTCGATTGGAGAACCTGTCTCTGGAAGAGCTATGGTTTCTGATGCTCCAGGGGTCCCGCTTCGATCAGAAAGGTCAATTGGTGAACTGAGCCAAAGAAACCAAATCAGACCTGACGGTCTCCCCGGAGGGATACTAGCCCTCCCAGAAGATGGTAACTTACTTGCGGTTGGCGGTCATGCAAACCCACCAAAATACATGTCTTTTCCAGGATCTCATAATCAAGAGCCTGAAGTAGCTTTCAACATCTCTGACAAGTTAGCTGCCTTAAACTCTGGTCCAAGGAACGAAAGACCAACAATGGGAGGTCAAGATGGTCCTTTTCTCCACCGCCATCCCCAACAATACGCGACCGACCCCTCTTCTCACTTGAATGGTTCAGGCCCAATATTTTATCCGTTTGATTCACGACATGCTCATGTAAAACCTCAGCTCGATTTCATTGGACCAGGAAGCATCATGGCTCAACATCATGACCCTCCACCAAATCACCGATTTCCACCAAACATGATTCACCGTCCACCTTTTCATACACCAACCAGTGGACATCCCGAGTTTGATCGTCTTCCTCCACATATGATGGAGAAGATGCATATGCAAGACAACCTGCAACATCATCATCTAATGCAAGGATTCCCCAGTGGTGGTCCACAACACCATCACTCTCCTCATGTGAACAACCAGATGCCGGGTCTCATTCCTGAGTTAAACCCGTCACAAGGCTTTCCCTTTGCCCATCACCAACCCAACTACGGTATGCCACCACCAGGTATAACATAAGTGAACATAGGACTTTCACTCATTTTTGGCCTCAGATCAAGATCTTGTGCGGACTTGAGTCGGCTGCTCTAGGGACCCAGATATTAATATCAGCTAGTGTAGGGACTAGTTGATTCTGAGTCTGCTCTTGTTTTCTTTGGCTTTTCAGGTTCTCAAGTTAACAGAGGAGAGCATACAGCTTCACTGCAGACACTCTTGGGGATTCAGCAGAGGATGGACCCAGCCAAGCAGATACCGGCATTGGGTCAAGCCGGTGGTCCTAATCGCCAAGGCTCTATGGGTCATGAACTCGACCTTGGGTTTGGCTACAGGTAACTCTACTCTGGCCATAGTCCTTTAACACCCTAAGAGGTGTGTCTACCTAACAGTGAGTTGCTTTGTGATGTGCAAGTAATCAAAATTACCATTTGTGATATTTTTTTAAGAAAAAAAAAAAAGAAAAAGAAAAAATAATATACTTTCTGTCACTATGAACTCTCGTTTCTCTTGGTGCTTGTGATATGGGAATGCTTTTAATTAACAATGGTAGATTTTCTATGAACGTTCGAGTCACTGGTATTTGCATATTCTATTTTAGGCTTTTTGTTTTTTGAAACCGGAGTTCAAGTCTCAAGGGGTCTGTGTCAATAGGTAACATAGAGGAGCGTGTGCGTATGGTTCTTTTTTAAGATCAGTTTCCCAATACAAATGCTATACTGTTCTGGAAAATATAAGAGGAAGCCAAATCAAATATATCCCGGATTCTTCAACGGTGACAACTCAAACATTGTTCTCTAGGCGGTTGCAAGTAGGCCTGGGCAAAATACCCGGAACCGAATACCCGAACCGAAAAGCTCGAAAAATACCCGAACCGAACCCGAACCCGATTTTTAAAAATACCCGAATGGGTCCTAACTTCCTACCCGAAAAAAAACCGAACCGAACCCGAACCGAATCCAATATCCGAATGTACCCGAATACAAATATACACCTAAAAATATTAGTTATATTTATATTTATAATACTCGAAATACCTAAAATTACAATCATAAATCCGAATATATTAGATATTTTTGAGTAATTCGGATACATTTGGATATATTTGGTTAAAAAGTAACTAATGATGTAGTTTTCTTTTGGATAATTTTAGTATTTTTAGATATATTTGGTAAAGAGTAACCAATGTATTTTGGAGAAATCGGGTATTTCGGTTAGATTTGGGTATATATGAGTTAAAAACCCGAACCCGACCCAAACCCGAAAATATTTCGGATATTTTTGGTTATTTTCGGGTATTTTGCTTTTTTTATTAAAATACCCGAACCGACCCGAACCCGAACCGAACCCGAATCGAATTTTTAGAATACCCGAATGGGTCTTGACCCTCTACCCGAATAGATCCGATACCCGAAAAAAAAGAACCGAACCCGAACGGGTACCCGAATACTCAGGCCTAGTTGCAAGTGTAAGGGCTTGTAGTGGGGAAGTAGAGGTCGATGCGTTGAGATTCTCTGAATCAGTGGGATGGTAAAAGATTAATGCAGATGTCAAAATCTCTTACAAATAGAAGGGGAAACCAAAAACAGTTTATAAATAAATTATATAATTTAAGACGAGAGCTGAAAGCTATCAAGTTCACATTCAAAACTGAATATATTTTTTTCTTTAAAAAAAAAAAAAAAAAAAAAAAAAAAAAAAAAAAAAAAAAAAAAAAAAAAAAGACTGAACTAAGAAAGGCGTAGTCTCCCTTGTAAAAGAATCTCTGATTCCATAGACTACCAAACAAGGTTCCGCTAAAACATAAATCAAGAAAACTATACACAAGGGGAGCATTAGCAAGCCAGAAGTGAGGGCACTGGAGGAAGTCTAAACGGAAATGATGGAAGTTACAACTATTAAAAATAGAAAGAAAAAAATAAAAAACGATCTAAACTTGGTTATATCGAGAAGAAAACGAAGTAGAATATTTGTTTACTTGATTATTTTCTATTGTTTTTTCTATGCTTACCGTTTGATTACAGAACATTTATTTGAAATTGATTGATAAAGTATACTGAAGGAAAATAAATCAATTGAGATTCTTTTCGTTACCAGTTTTCATAGAAGCCAAAATAATACTTTATACATTCATATACAATTTTAAAAAACTAAAAGTTTAACCTTGCCTTTTCTTCACTCACTGGATGTGCACTTAAAAAAAGAAACATCTTCTGCTGACCGCCAAACCAATATTACACAGTCTCTTTGGACACTCTCAAGGTCTTAACTTAAGATTGATCCAAACTCACTTGCAGCTAACTGTGACCTTACATAACTCTGCAAAACCCTCTATTATCTATACACACATACACAAGACAGGACAAACAAGTGTGCTCCACCCCGCCCGACTAACAGAGACATAAAAACCCCAACTCAGTAGCCATCTAAGAGTCCTTGCAATTGGTTCTGCTCGGGTAATGAGAACTTGAGGCCTAAATCCATTGAATGCATACAGCTCTCACTTAAGGTACATTGTTGTTTTTTCCTACCTCTATTTCAAAGCTTTAGCGCTGTATGATGATATCTACATATCAAAGCACCAAATTAATAATTACTTGATATACACAAGAAAGTATTAATCTTTCAGTATTTCATTAAGAGTGGCAATGAAATTACTACTTACCTGCTCTGCAAACTCGGGATTTGTCAGATTTACAGACAGGTTTTGCATCAGTAAAAGAACCTGATGTATCAAAAAGAAAAAAAAATACCAAATAAGCTTCTCTATTATAATCAGGATTGAAGTTGTGAACAAAGGCTCAGAGTAGGGACTGAGTCTGATTAAACATGTCTCATACCGTTTCCATATTTATTGGATCCATCTGCTTTAATCTCTGGAGGTGGCCTGATGTGTTGGGATCGAAGACACTTCCAATGAAGCTGTAAACTTCAGCAAAATTCGGCATCACTGCATTGAAACCGCCACCAAACAACTCATTCTCAGTGTAATCCTTAGAGACGTGTAATAGGAAAACACATAATAACATAACAAATCTTACCTCTATGTGGCTTTTCACAACTTTCTTCGCCATTTGGCTTTGTCACTGCTCGTACCCTCCGTGTATCTTCCTCACTGCAGTGATTCTTTGGGAGAGGAGCCGTGGCCGAGACTCCCGGTTCCTCTACTACTATCACAAATTCATTACACCACATTGTTAACACCATTCACAGATACAACAAACTCAAACTGTCATCAACCGAAAGCAAAACCACTCTACCTTCAATCACCGGTTTTGGCAGAAGATTCGTTGATTCATGATTCCACGAAGAAGAGCTAGATGCACAAACAGCCTGGTTTCCCAGCAACGGCTGTGAATCAGAGCTGTACAAATAACCAGGCTCAAGCAACGGTAGTGTGCTCGAAGATGGAAGGACGTGGGAGGTAAAAGCAACTGCAGCATAACAAATAATCAGAAAATGATTAAAGAAAAAAGCAAAGAAGAAACAGAGTAAGAAGATGATGATCAAAGTCACCTTTTTTAGGAGCCTTTATAGGATAAGGATGACTCGCTTTCCTCTTTGGTCGAGGAGGTGGAAGATGTTCGTTAGCACCACTCTTCTGAACTTTGAGAAAGTATTTCTGCGCGTGGCTTCGTATCTGCCAAACACACATATTACTACTCACAATCATTGTCTAAAGAAAAACAGAGAACATTGTAAGATTCTTCAATTTATACCTGAACCACTGTTTTTGATCCAACAAATGCCTCTATCTTCTTCCAATCCCTATCGAATCTGTTATCAATTGATCGATTAGCTCATAACAACAAATCTCGAAGCTTTCAAACGAAAACACAATCAAATTCCTGCAATACACGTACAAGTGGAGAGCTTCTAGAAATTTATCGTGTTCTTGATCTGTCCAATTCTCTCTCGACTTCTTGATTGTGTACGGCTTCCGAATCTTCGTAGTCGGATCCTCAGAAAACGACACCCGTCCGGTGGCCGGAATCGTAGCAATCGGATTGGAACCAAATCCATCGGAGCCTGGTAAACTCATGTTCACGGGATCGAACATTGGAAAACCCTTAGGTCTAGGGTTTACGGACACCATAGAGCTCGAAATCGCGATTCGCTTTGGGTACAGCTTTTGCGTTTCGCAATTCTTCTTCAAAAGTCCTTTCACTGTCAAAAGATTTGACTTGGACAGTTTTTTTTTGGGAAGAAAATCTCGTTGGCCCCCTATACTCGAATCATTCTCTACTTAGCCCCTGTTATAAAAATAAATAATTTAAGTGTTTATTTTTATTCAAACAGTTAGTAAAAGACAATAATATTTGTGGGTTTCAACTTATTTACCGATCCAACCTAAGTTTTGGATCAAATATCCAATAGTTTTGGGCCCCATTTCGGATCCACTCCTTTTTTTCAAACAACAGATCCTAATTCTATCAAAACATCAAACCCTAAAAAAAAAAAAAAAAAAAAAACTCTCCTTCGTCTTCCTTTTCTCTCAACCACAGACGAAAGCTTTTCCGATTTCGTTTTCTTCTTCTAGATCCTCTTCTTCTTCTCTCTTATCTTGTTTCAGTCGATACTCTTTCATCTTCTTCTTCTTTCGTCTTCACTCGTTTCTCTGGATACTCCTTGAATCCGAGAAATCCACCGTGAATCTGAGGAATCCGCCGTGTCTTCTCCGCTGTGTGTGCTCTTTGTAAGATTTCTTTTGTTTGATCTGTATATTTCGATTGATTTGTTAATTTTGGTTTGATTAGGGTTTGATTTCTCTTTGAGAGTTTAATAGGGTTCGATTGATAAAGGTTTTGGGCTTAATAAAAGTTTGATTTTGTTTGAAACAGATGAATTATGGATATGTTTTGTATTGAATTCGGTTTTTTATGGATATAATTCAGATTTTATGTTTACAATTTGGGGATGGATTTGAAATACAATTTGGATTTGAAATTGCCTCTGTTAATAACCATTGTGACTAGTTGTATGATTTCTCTATATTTTCGGATTTGATTAGATTCAAATTGTGTTTATTGGATTTGAATATATTTCGGATTACTTATAATTATGTAGATATCTAATTAGATTGTTGTTGCAGGTTGGTTTACAATGCCTATTACCAGAAGAGGAGCTTCTAGTTTTAGAAGTGAACCATCTTGTTCTAGAAGTGAAAAATCTACCGAGCTTAGAAGTCCCAAAAGACAAAAGCAATCGGATCCAAAGCATCCAGAGATAGGAGCTGCAGTGGATGATGTCATGGAAGATCAAGGAGTCGAACCATCTCCGGAGAATGTCGTGTCTGACCATGAGGTAAGTAATAAACATGTTTGATTGTATTTAGTACAATTGAGTACAACTATGTTGTGGAACTGAAATTATCTGTGTTTGTATTGCAGGAAATAGAGGAGATGGATGAGGATGAGGCTTTACCTCTTCAGCCTGAGAGTTTTTTCTTTAGTCCTGAGGAGTATGATAAGACTTTGAAGATATCAACAAGGTGTACCATTGGTAACACGCTGGATGCCATTAGTGTGAAGCTGAGTGACAAAGAAATGAAGTGGTTTAGAGATGAGAAGCAGTTCAAGCACGTCTTTCACTTGGTTAGGAAAGGGAAAAATAAGCTGCAAGGTATGTTCATGCTTCTTATGCGGACTGCTTCAACACAGAAGAAGAGGGAAAGCTGGTTTGTGGTGAATGGCGTTCCAATACGCTACTCGATGAGGGAACATGCTTTGATCACTGGATTTGACTGTCATGACTATGCATCATATCATAATGCAAACAGTTTTGGTAGTTATGCCTTTGTGGAGAGGGTCTTTGGAACAAGAAGTGTAAGAGAAGGAGCAGGAGAAGAGTTCGGCTCTTATTTTGGTATCTGATGATGAGTATCGCTTGTATGCTGGTGTGTGATGTTAATGTATGAATCTGTGTTTAGGTACAACTGATACGATTAGGTACAACTATGTTTCTGGGTTTATGTATTTTGATTAGGTATGAATCTTTGAATCTGAATCTAATTATGTATGAATATTTTAATCTGAATCTTAATATTTTTATTTATGAATCTATGTATTGAAAAAAAAATATTCTTAACAATACGATTAGGTACAACTATGTATTGTTAATACAGTTGTTATTTTGGCATATCTGGCGCCGTTATTCTGAAAAAATCTGGCGCCGTTATTCTGACAAATGGCATACCTGGCGCCATTATTTTTTAAAAAATTATTAAATAATAGTTCAAATTTGTTCATAGTTGTACAGTTGTACTCGGTTGCACATTTTTGCTTATAGTTGTACAATATAGAGATTTTAATAAATCTAGTTGTTATCAATTCTAATTTAATTTTTTTTGGTGGAACCGATTGTATTGCCTCATAAAAATGTCACTACTTTGTATATGTGCATTTATATTTATCAAAATACAAGTATTTCAAAAATTTATAAAATTTTAGTTCAAATCTACAAAGTAACCATGAAAGTATAAGGTTGTTAATGTATGAATGTTGGATTTTGAGTAAGAATTTCAGTATTTTTTAAAAATATGAAATTTTTACTCAAAACTTGTTGTGTAGTTTCATTACCATCGTGTATGCCTTTTTTTAAGTTTTTTTTTAATTTGGTTTCAAATTTTCATATTATATAAAATTATGAAAATTGGCCAAGGCATTAGACCTTAGTTGTACATGTGGTACTTAGTTGTACCCAGACTGAAAATTTGCACAGATACGAAAAGGAAATTAACAATAGTTGTACCTGATAAAACTTAGTTGTACAACACAGAACATATAAGTTTTACAAACAAAACCAACACAAACAACATCGTTTCTTAAATTAACCTAATAAATAGCATTGAGAAATCAACCTTGGTCACCCGAATCGTCTCCGTCAACGTCACCATCATTGGTAAACCACTCGCCCAAACCGCTCGCTCCATGCGACCTCTTCTTACGTCCTCTATGCTCTCCAACGGAGGGGAATCTTGTTTCTTGTCTTCTTCCTTGTTTTACCTCGTAATCCGGAGGATATGCAAACAGTTGCATTATCTCCTCAGGAAGAACCCATTGACTATTATGGGGAACCGGATAAATTGTCCTCGTGTATGCCAAAACCCAAAGCTCGATCCAATAATACTTTGAGCACAAGTCATGTGCCCGGAGGTCAGGAGCTGCATCCTTGTTTGCTGTAAGTGTAGCCGCTATCGCATGCACACATGGATACTTGTCTATATCAAAACGCCTACAACTGCATGTTTTGCTTCTCAAATCAACCAAATAAATTTTCCCATCGCCTCCAATCACACTATAATCAAGATTGTAACCGTTTAGCTCTTGCACCACCAACTTTTTCGCTTTCTTAGTTGTAAGATGGAGTTCCTTCTCCACAAAAGGAACCAAATATTGACCACTTGGTAATAGTCCAGAAGCTTTTCTATGTTTGGCAAACCACTCCGCGATTTATTCATAAGAAAAGACTACACTTCTTCATCTTCTCCATTAGAAATCCAATGTACATCTTCTCCGATACTTGTATAGTATCCGTCATAAGCAAAGCGTATGACTGAATTCCTTTTCATTGTCCCTGAAAAAGAAAGAGAAAAAAAAACGGCCTATAATTTCATAACTTTCGTAGCAGACCATCAACATAGTTGTACGCATTTGTCCCAGTTGTACCAAACTTGGGGTTTCCGTAACTACTTAGTTGTACCCAGTGGTTTCAGTTGTCCTAAATCTGCAATCCTAAAATATTTCAACAAATAACCCTATTCAAGCTACGAATTCAACTTAATCATACTACACTAAGAAAAAGTATACTTACCTTACAGTATGGTGGAAATACAAGAAGAAGAAGAGAAGAAATATGTCTTTGGAGATAGAAGCTTTAATGGTGAGCTTCAATGGTAGATGGAGAAGAAGAAGAAGAAGAAAAAGAAGAAGAAGAAGAAGAAGAAGAAGAAGAAGAAGAAGAACGTCGGAGCTGCAACGTTGGAGCTGCAACGTGAGCTGTTGAAGAAGAAGAAGAAGAGAAGAAAGTCTCGTTCGTTTTAATGTTGTAAAATATGAGACATTTGGTAGGTTTGTTTTTTTAATGAGAGAAGAGAGAGAAAGTGTTTGATTGGATGAATAAAAAATATGTTGATATTAAATTAAATGTAGAATTAAAGGGATAAGGGGTAAAGTTGGTTTATGGAAAAATTGGGAAGGAGAGGGGGTAGTGAGAATAAAGAGGGGTTTTGCAAAAATTGATTCTCCCCAAAGGGGCTAAAGAGATTAAAATCCTTTTTTTTGTGGCTGAAGAACAGATGGCTAAAATCGTAATTTTAAGAGCATAAATGAATATTTTTCTTTACACGTGTTAGGATCTCGTTGCTCTGGTCCCAATTGACGCCGTTAAAATAGTGTTATCACTTAAAGAAAGAATCAACGGCCATAAAGATGTCGCGTGGAGATTGGAGACGATCTCGAGGACGGAGAAGCTTTCACGTTTTAAGGTCGTTAAATGTTTCTAGCATTGTCACGATGTGTCCATTCTTTATACAACTAGAGATTTTAAGTGTTTTATTTATCGCTAATCTTTAACTAAAGTGTTTATTAGGCAGCCCCAACAAAAAAAGTTACATTAGAAAACAATGAAAAGAGTAATTAATCGTACATGATAATCAGATAGTTTGTCTAGAGATGTTATGATTCTCAGACAGATGTTGAAAAATTAGCGATTAGTTTTGCCAAAATAGTGTTCGATCTGCAGACAACCTTGAGAGGACGAGCCACTTGTTTTAGTTCCAAGCTTGAATCTCTTACCACTACTTCCTGAGCTTGTATTGGCGTTCTATGCAGTGCAACAGATATCAAAACACATTAGGCAAGGTAGTGGAAATTGCTTTTTAGTGTAGAGATTGCAACAAGGGTAAGGGAAAGAACATGAAGAGAGAAGAATGCATAACTCACAGAAATTTGGGGTTTAGATCTCAGCACTTTGATTCTTCCACCTTTACCATCAGGTCCAATAGCGATCAGATCATCTTTGCTTGGACCAGAACCTCCTAGTGATGGAGTTGTTTCGTTTCTCTCTCCATGTTTGCTCCATCTACCAAGGTTTCGATTTGACTGCCAAATGTTTCCAGCACCTGCATTGAGTTTTTGAACAATCTTCAAATTTACTACACTCGGAACTTGAATTCTTGATGTACAACAAAAGTACCATTGCTGTGAGGTGAGACTGATGATGTCGGGTTTTCTCTGATGTTGAACTTTATATTCTTCACCAGGGGATTATCACATTTTTCTTCAATATTAGTATCCGAATGTCTGATGCCAGAAATGGTGGTTTCGGGAACATCATCATCTACATCTATAACTGAGTCTGTTCTGCTAACAAAGGAGCCTTCTCTTCCCCTTAAGCATGATCCTTGGTTGGTAAAGCCATCATTTTCTTCTAATTTACCAGGTGGTGTGGAGATTTTCTCCATTTTGTTGTCTGATGGCAACATTCTGAAAGAAGCCATGCTCTCGGTTGCAGGCTCGGATAATTCTCTGTAACTGCAATTCTTTGAAACGTTTATGTCCCGTAGAGCTCTGTTCTCTCTCGCTTCAGTTATCAACTCAAGTTCCCTCATTTGCTTCTGCTAGTAGAAATAAGATATTAAGAGCCAGATATAGAAGACACAAACAAGATCGGGTGCAACAACAAAAGACACACCTTTAGTTTATCTATCTTTTCCAAAGCTTTTTCAAGTTTCTCAGACGATCGCGCTTCGCCTCTGCCCAGCTGATTGCACTTGGCTAGCAATTCCTTATAGCTTCTGTCAGAGTAAGCAAGAATGATTTGTATTAGAGACTTCATTAAAGAAAATTAGAAGGCCTAAGAGAAAGAAACGCAATGTTCAATCCTCCTTTCCAACTTCTTGACCACCTACTTGCTTATGAAATTTCGTAATTTCAGTTTAACAAGTTGTTTTAACAAGAGACTAGAAAACCAAACAAAGTACTCTACTCTGCAGGAATCAACGGATGAACTAAGGTGAATCACCTTCTTCATTACTATAGTTGAAAAATTATTATTTTTGAATCGCATTACACTGCATCAGTGAAAAAGTCAATGACAAATGGAAAATAATGAACCAAGTTCACAAAAGTCGATGACCAAAATGAGAATATGGAAACAGTGACAAACTAAATGCTATGTATCTACCTATTTCAGATAACCAAAACTAAGTGGAACTAAGTGAAGCTGTGTGAACTGAGTGGAACTAAGCTATGAGACCAACCTATTTCGGATAACCAAGGACTTGACTAGTGTGTCTATTGTATCTTTGGTCTTAGCGTTATTCCCCAACAAGGCTAGCTTCAGAACATCATCTTCCTCCAAGCTTAAATCAGAAACCCTGGATACAAAACAAGATATAGACTCAGAAAGGTATTACCAAAAGAGTGAATGATTAAATAAGAAACTGAAGACATTAAAAGAGCAATATGAAAGATTTTATCGCACAATTTAAGCGCTGCGAGCTCCTTGGCAAGAGCCATAGTTCTCTCCTGTAGCTTAGCACACTGTGAACTAAGCTGGAAACATTCCTGTAACAAAACATACTAACAAACTCAACAAAAAATCTACTGTGAAGCAAAACGATCTAAAAATCGAAGGATGATGTAGAGTTATAATCAAAACCTCAGATTTTAACTTAAGCAAGTGCTGAGTCGTTGATATTTCTTGAAGAGCCTCCCACCTTTTCACTTTATCCTCCTTCAATTGTTCATTGCATTGATGCAACTGAGAAGCAAAAGAACCTAAATTTTCACATAACCTTATCTTTTGAACCATTCTAATCAACAAAATGAAGAAACCACCTTATCAGAGACTTGAACATTCTCCTTTTTCTTCGCCTCCAGAGCTGAAGTAAGATTTTGTATCTTCCCTTGGAGCCGCTTCACTTCTCCTCTCAACAAAACCGGATCTTCTTCGATTTCAACGACTTTTTCCGAGGTGATTTGATTCCCGGAAGACTGAAAGTAAAGTCGGCAAGGATCCTTTAGAGAGCACTTCTGCTTACAAATCGGACAATTTCGCTTGTTCGTACTCGGGCAGTACTCAAACCATTGCTGCAAACTAGGGTTTACCAAAAAACATAAATCTATATAAAAATTTCGGAGATAAGAAATAATCTTCGATTGTTCCGTACTAACCAAAGTTCGTGAAAGACATGGCCACAAGCGGAGATTGATTGCAGATTCTCAACCACCGGTTTGAGATCTTCGTAGCAGATTGAACAAATAGCATTCCCCGCCGCGTTTTCTTCTGCCATAGCCATCTCTCCGGAAATCCCCGACTAGTCAGTCAGTTTCCGCCACTTTCAGTCACCATTTTTTCTCGAGAAAATCAAAAAGGTAAATATCAGAGGAAACACATGGCGCGGGGAGAAATGTTGAAATTTCAATGGTAAGCGCGAAAATCTGGGGAAGGAAAGCACGTGTAAGTCACGTGAGAATAACCAAAGCGGCTTGTATAAGCCCAACGTTTTGTCACTATCGGCCCATTAATCCCAAATCAGCTATTGACCTTTTGTTTTTGCCATTTAACGAACCAACAGTTACAAGGCTTAGGAAGCCCATTTTGGCACAGGCCCAAAAAACTTACAAGGCATAAATTGGCCGACATGGCACATAGGCCCAACAAACCAACACAAGGCTCACAGGCCCAGCAAGCCAACACAAATAGCAAAAGACCTAGCCAAAGAGTCTGAACCTGGTAGAAAGCAGAGAGGTTCCAGGGAGAGCATTACGTTATTCCCTAGCAAGAGGATCAAAACGAGCTCGCATAATCTGCTTGATCTCTTTGATGATTATATTTGGCGAGTGAATGCGGAGGTTGCCTTCCTTCCATAAGAGATTAAGAGATAGATGGAAGCTTGTAACACGAGTTTTTATGATCAGAGCAAGATTTGAGTCCTTAGCAGCTGAGATTACCCACAAAAGAGTAGACAAGCGATGAAAGGAGAGGGGGGCACCATGAGGAGGAGTACTCATTTTTAATTCCTCCTACTAATTGGGGTTTACCAAAAAATGCATCAGTTGTGTGAGTTGTCGAACAATCAAAGTGACTATCAACAACAAAAAATAAATTACACACTAACTTGATTAGATTAAAATTAAAAATTCGGTTAGTCAAACACAATGTTTAAATTAATGTTGACTTTACTCGTTTTTAGTAATATTTTATGTATATATTTATTTTAAAAAATAGCTTGGGTCCACGCGGTTTGATACAATGCCTCGTGCAGGCCACTTGTAGCTAAATACATATTTTTGCTAAAAAACTCGTCCCCGAAGGTTTCACGTGGCTCATGCACCCCTGACTGGGTCAGGAGAATCTCGACCGTCGGATAAAAATTGAAGCATTTAGAAAGCTTAAAGTTAAGATATAACCGTCCGATGAATGGCTCCAAAGATTGTGATCCGTTATAAGCCGTACGATTGACTAACACAAAGAGGAATCAACATCACGAGGTGAGAGATAATGGTAACAACGGCATAAAAGCATTTTTTTCGACAGCTCTAGGAAAGTCCACGTCATCTTATCTTACTCGCCGTGTGAACCGTTGATTTTTATGAAATTGTCAACCTTTTGTACTCGCGGAGATCACGCGCTCTCCTCGTTTGGCACGTGTGTCACACTCTGCGACACCGGTATGGTTAAATTCTCTCTTTTTTTTTCTTATAAATAAAATGTTTCTAAATTTGTGTTTTCTTCAAAAATTTACTATGTTACTCACTTACTCTATTAACGAATGTATACATATATTTTTGAGAATAATTTTTTTTTTTAATTTTATGGCTAGTTATAGGAGTTGTGGAATTGGAAGAACAAAATCAAGAAAACGTGGAATAAATTTCTAGAGTGAAATTTTTTTAAAAAATAAATTTAACAGCAGAGTGAAAAATTAAATGAATTGTCGAGTTTATGTATACTAATTTTTTTTAATATGTATACAAACCAAATTTGAGATCGGATTTTTAGACACACTAGCTACTAATATTATTTTTTATAAAATTATTTATATGTGCTTTGTTGTTGCTATTCTCAAAAGGTAATGAATGATACAACAGTATCCCATGTTTAGAGTATGTGGCAGAGTGATCAACACTAATACACTATGGTGCTAAGTGACAACCACTATCTTTCTATCTACATACTTTTTATATACATTGATGCACATTTTTTTGAAAATACAAATGGATTACATATATGTTATCCATGAATGGTTTTTATTTAAAAATCAGTTGTTGGATTGACTATTGTGTAATGTCGAAAGCTCACAATGATCTGGAAAGGGAACAAATTAAACTTTTATTCTTATCCTTTCCATATAAATTTTTATTTATTTTTCTAAATTAATCTTGACAACTTCCAGTTTCCATAATCTTAGGTGTAAAAAAGATATAGCAATTGTTTACTTGGTCTTGTGCGCATCGATAAAAAAGTAGGCACTACAACGAAAGTATGGTTTCCCACTATTTAATCATATCAAAGCAGCCCCAAAAGCGCGTGTCAGAGACGCGTTGAAATGTCCAAAGGAGTGTGAGGTTGACAAAAGATGAATTAAGATAGATTATTCAAAGCCTTTGACAATTTATCAAAGTCAACCAAATACAAGAAACCGGAAACCACCTCTGGTTTTAGTCTCTAATTACACTAGGCGACAAAGACAGGATAAGCATCGAGATACTTTTCTCTTTCTAGAATTTCCCAAAACAGCCAAAGACACTATTCCTCTCTCTCTATATATAATATACATATAAAAATATGCTAAAAAACGTATTATATATATCGGCATATACACGTATTGTGATTCCGACAGTGCTCATCTTTTTTCCAAGTGTGTTCATACTTATTTGCTTTTAAAACAAGATATATAGATGTCTAATTTAGTTAGTTTCGTTCTAATCAATAAAGGGAAAATATGTCAAATAAACACTAACATTTAGAAACTTTGAATCGATATATGTTGGCACAATAATGGAATCGGTTTTAGAGGAGGATTCCTAATTTAATGTTATGATTCAAATTAAAGTCGTTTGCTAATTATAACATCTCGTATTAGTTTTGTGCAATCGTCACATGTTCTTCTTTATTTCCTGTTTTATACAAATGATTCAATATGTTTGTTTACCAAGTACCAACATCCGTACACAAAATTTATTTTGTTTATGTATTTTATAGTCACAAGTTGTGACTCAACAAAATATTTTTCAGGTCATTTTTGTAACCTATAAATCTATGTAAATAATATTTATCAACTACTCTTTCTGTTCCTTTAAGTTTGATGTTTTGGGTTTTACACATAAATTAAAAAAAAACTAATTTTTATACTATTTAATTATTTGTTTGTTTGTTTAATAATTTTATGCCAGATACATATATTGATAAAAGGGTTCACAATGTAGAATAATTGCAATGTCAAAAAAAAAAGAGAACAAAACAAAATTGTATTATACACTGTATTTAATCATCAATAATAATTTAATAAAATATATCCTCCATTTTTTTCAACCCTTTTTTTTTAATTTTCCTCCTCTCACTCTCTTTATAAACATCTCTCTCTACCCTTCAAAAGTCAGCGCTCTCTTTTGTCTCCTCTGCTTTTCTCTTCTCTCCTCAGAGATTCGAAGCTTTTTTGTCTCCCCTGAGTAACCAAATTCAATGGCCGACGATTGGGATCTCCACGCCGTAGTCAGAGGCTGCTCAGCCGTTAGCTCATCAGCAACTAACACCACAACCACCGTATATTCCGGCGGCGTTTCATCTCACACAAAACCTATATTCGCCGTCGGACGACAAAGTAATGCCGTCTCCTTCGGAGAGTTTCGAGATCTCTACACACCGTTCACACAAGAATCTGTGGTCTCGTCGTTCTCTTGTCTAAATTACCCAGAAGAACCTAAAAAGCCACAGAACCAGAAACGTCCTCTTTCTCTCTCTGCTTCTTCCGGTAGCGTCACTAGCAAACCCACTGGCTCCAATACTTCTAGATCTAAACGAAGGTTCGTTTCTTCACCAATTTTGTTTTATCAAAACCATTAAAAAGTTTAAACCTTTTGTCAAACCCATCAAGAAATTTGTCATTTTTATGTTGTACCAATCAAAATTTCGAATTCTGCTGTAAAGAGATGATTAAAAAGTCTCAATTTTTGTCGAACCCATCAAATTTGATTGAATCAAGATGGCTAAAAAGTCTCTGTTTTTTTTTGGTTGCTTGTTACAGAAAGATACAGCATAAGAAAGTGTGCCATGTAGCAGCAGAGGCTTTAAACTCCGATGTCTGGGCATGGCGAAAGTACGGACAGAAACCCATCAAAGGTTCACCATATCCAAGGTAAAATATATTTACCCACACCAAAAAAAAGGTTCATTTATTGACTAATAAATGTGTGTTCTTTCAAGACAAAAGAAACTTGTCTGTTTTTGTGATTCTGTCTGCTTTTGGTTTGTTAAATTATCTCCGTTACAATTTTGGTAAAGCTTTCTAATTAATTTTATTTTCATGAAAACAGAGGATACTACAGATGTAGTACATCAAAAGGTTGTTTAGCCCGTAAACAAGTGGAGCGAAACAGATCCGACCCGAAGATGTTCATCGTCACTTACACGGCGGAACACAATCATCCAGCTCCGACACACCGTAATTCTCTCGCCGGAAGCACCCGTCAGAAACCATCCGATCAACCGACGACTAAATCTCCGACGACCACGATTGGTACTTATTCATCGTCTCCGGTGACGTCAGCCGACGAATTTGTTTTGCCTGTGGAGGATCTAGCGGTGGGAGATCTTGACGGAGACGAAGATCTGTTATCTTTGTCGGATACGGTGGTGAGCGATGATTTCTTCGATGGATTGGAGGAATTCGCAGCCGGAGATAGCTTTTCCGGGAACTCGGCTCCGGCGAGTTTTGATCTCTCTTGGGTTGTGAACAGTGCCGCCACGGCCACCGGAGGAATATGATCAGATTACGACGGCTTTAGAATACTCCTTTTAGGAAAGATATATAGGATTAAGGAATTATTCTCGGATTATATGTAAAAATAGGAAAAAAGAAAATGTTCTTTGTTACTTTTTTTTTCGGCTTTTCTTCCTATTGTTTCTAAATATCTTAGACAAATTTAATTGTATATTTCTTAAGCCCGATTTAAATCATACAGTATTGACTATTGAGATGAAGACTATTAGCTAGATTATTGTTGAAAAATACTTGGGTTCACCTCTAGGGGTGAACCTCTTATGTTCACCCCCTTTATTTCATCCAATCAAAATCTGCCACCTATTAATAATAAAAAAATTTATTTAATTATAAAATTTAATTTGCTACTAAAATGAAATTATGTATCGGTTTAGGTTTATTAGAAAGGGTTAGAGTTTAGATTTTATGATTAAACGAGTTTAACTATCGGTTTGGGTTCATAAACGGATTTAGATTTTACAATTAAACGAGGGTAAGTATCGGTTTGGGTTTAGAAAGTACGATTAGGGTTTAGATATTTTACGATTAAACGTGTTTAAATGACGGTTTGGGTTTACAAAAGAGAATTAGTATTTAGATTTTATGATTAAACGAGTTTAACTATCGGTTTGGGTTTATAAACAGGTTTAAATTTTACAATTAAACGAGGTTAAGTGTCGGTTTGGGTTTAGAAAGTACGATTAGGGTTTAGATTTTTTACGATTAAACGAGTTTAAATGATGGTTAGGGTTTACAAAAGAGAATTAGGGTTTAGATTTTGTAATTAAACAAGATTATATATCGGTTTGGGTTTATAAAAGAGTGGTTATGACTTTATCTTATTGTATTATTTAGAAAATAATTGTTTTAATTTTTTTAACTAGATGATATGGCAAATTCTAATTGGATAATTATGAGGGGTGAATGAAAGTGGTTCACCCCTAGGGGTGAACCCAAGAATTTTTCATTATTGTTACCCAAAAAAAAAAAGACTAGTGATGCTCACCCCCGGTCCTTCCTGGTGCGATTGTGCCATGGCTTCTTATCAAGGGACTGGATAGTCCGTATCTCGCATGTGTATAGGGAAGCTAACCGCCTTGCGGACGGTTTAGCCAACTATGCGTTTTCTCTTCCTTTAGGTTTTCATTTACTTGAGGTTATGCCTAGTTGTGTTTTTTCGATTCTTTTAGATGATGAGCGTGGAACTACGATTCTACGTCGAATTTGTATTTGATTTTTAATTTTATTCTAATAAACGGGGAGGCATTGCTTCCCCGTGTTCACCAAAAAAAAAAAAAAAGACTAGTTACATTTCAATATTTATCAACCGTAGATAACCATATTTTTCTCATTGTTGATACTCTAATACTATAGTATTTTGCTTTTATCATCATAAACATGATTCAAAATCTCGATTTTAATGATAATTTTATTTTATTGAAAATTAGTTTGGAGTTCAAAACCTGCTTTTTTGTTTGTTTGTGTGTACCCGTCTCCGTCGTAACCCGAAAGCTTATGAATTATATATCTTGTGGAATCGTTAGAATCAAAACATTTCAAGTTCGTCTAGCTAAGATTCATCAGAAGAGGAGGTGTGAAATATGTCTCTCACTTCAACGATGATCCTTGTGTCCATGGAATCCTTGTTCAGTCGCCTCTACCATCGCATATGGATGAGCAGTGCCGGCGTTTGGGGTGTGCAAGTGGAGCAATTGTACCGGGTCTAATTTTTTGGGTAAATTTAAGGGCCCAAATTTATTTTTTCGTATAGAAAAAAATGTAATTTTTAAAATTTTAAGATATCTTTATCATAAAAAAAAAGCCTAAATATTTTATTTAGTATGAAAGTGGTTAATTTTTAAGTTTTTTTAACATGAAAAAGGCCCAATTTTTTTTTTTTTTGTATGGAAAAGTGCCAATTTTTAAGATTTGTACCGGGACTCAAAATTAATTGAGCCGGCCCTGTGGATGAGCATAACATATTGAATTCGGTTAGTGTTGAGATATATGTTGACGAATTTCATCCGCTAAATATTGGACTGCTTGCCATGCGCGGAAGAGAACTATTATGTGTTTTGCGAACACCAAAAGGATGCATTGAGCTGTTACACCGATACAACTTTGAGATCAAAGGAAAGAGAGCAGTTGTTATTGGAGGGAGTAAGATTTTTGATATGCCGGCTGCTCTGTTACTGCAGGTAATGAATGATACATGCCATTTGATAATTACTTTATTTTTCTTGGGTATTTCTTGATGTATTTTTGTAAATGGTAGAGAGAGTATGCAACTGTTACCATTGCCCATTCAAGAACCAAGAACTCTGAAGAAATTGTAAGACAAGCTGATATCATATTCTCGGCTGTTTGGCAACCAAACATGGTTAGAGAAAACTGGATAAAATTGGGCGCAGTCATCAAGGTTGGGACTACTTTTTTGTTGATGTAAGCGAACAAAATTTTGAAATTATTATTGGTAATGAAGTTATAATTGATTAAGTCACCAATCAATATGTGACATTCTTATACCCTATTGTAGGATCCAAGCACTCCGCATGGCTATCGAGTGGTCGGAGACATTTGCTATGAGGAGGTTTGTAAAGTTGCATCAGCCATCACCACACCTGCTGTTGGTGGTAAAAGAACAATGCCCTTAGCCATGCTTCTTTCTAACACTTTAACATCAGCCAAGAGAAATCACAACTTCATGTAACCTTACAAAGAATATTTTTAGTTTTAACAAATCCTACTCTGCCTTTTACAGCCAATGGTTAAAACAATTCCTTAAATAAAAAAATACTCTCACAGACAAGTATTTTTTTAGCAAAAAAAAAAGAAAAGAGATCAGTTAGTATTTTATAAAACGTTAGAAATCGTGTATAAATATGATTTAATATATAAAAGTAAGTAGTATTAATTCTAGGAGATAAGTCCTAATGGGTTAAGTAGGATATGTACACAGTACATATCTCTTTCTCTACAATTTTATCCTTTAATCTTGTATAAATAAACATATTTGCAGAGACGTTTTGGAACAAGAAAATAATTCCCTACTAATCTAATGTTGTTGACTAACGGTTTTACCCAAAAAAAAAGTTACACTTAACCAATTTTAGGTTTTTAACCCTTCTTCAATTCATCCGGCTTAAAACCAAACACTTTAAATTGTTTATAAATCAATAACCACGACTATTAGATTGAATGGTGCGGATATAAAACAATAACCACGACAATAACCAAATTGTTTCCAAAGTTGGCGGTCGTTTGACTCTAATTCCCGGTGTTATGAAAATAATATACCTCTTCGAAAGCCAGAAAGTGTTCCGTTGTTGGGATTTAGGTTATTTACCATGATAATAGTTTTAGGGGGAGATATAAATGGACATGATCGAAATATAGAATTTCCGTGAACTTATTTTTTTTGGAATTCTAGTTCTACTGCAAAAAACAAATAAAAGAACTAAAAATTGTTAGAACGATATCACTTAAGGATAATGCATCCATTATGTTGAATAATCTAGACAAAATCCTTGATTTGGTTCAAGAAAAAATTGGTTGCCAAATAAGTTGTTCAAAATGCTATTGTAGCTCTCGAGCTGTAACAAAATTGCAGGTTTTACAAAATCATTAGAAGTAAAAGGGTACGGTACTTCAGACATATCTCCTATAAACAACACAAAAGATTGTGAAAGACATTAGCAAGTTTCAAGGATCAACTCAGGCGCTTGGAAATGCTGCTAAGGAAAGTTGAGGAGGATGTCATAAAAGAATTTGTTTTTAGTGTGAGAAAACTCTATAATTGGTAGACAATGTGTGAAAAAAAAAACTAGAAATGTTTCAATTTCATAGTACTACGTAATAATCTGATTAGTTATGTGGGTTTGAATAAATTGTTTTATACCATTCATGATAACTAATTGCTTCATCCAAACTATTATTTGTATATATGTGGGTGAGTAAATAATTTAGAGATCAGAGCAGTGTTTAAGTTCAAAAGAACTTGAGGCAAATTTAAAAAGTATACTTTTTTGATATTTTTTTTGAATATATATATAATATGATGCTAATTGCCTGGACTGCAAAAATTTCTTTCACATGCAGAAAATTTTAGAAGATATTCTATAATACATATAAGTGATTTGTATATCCTATTATAATTGCATTAGTTAAGAAATTATGTTAAAGGATATATATATATATATATATATATATATATATATGCTTCTATATTGTACCTCAATTCATATGAGTAAATACAATTATTTTTACCTTTGAATTCTTACCAATCTATCATGGTATTAGAACAGATTATGCTCGAGTTTCGATCAAACTCATTTTTAATATAATAACTGAGGGTTTGAGGCGAAAACCTTGTTTCTAAAATGCCATGCATGAGCATAACCCATGCTAGGTGTGTGTTTTATCTAAAGTCTGAATTTTGAATCACCATTATACAATTTTACTTTGACATACTTTTGAATTAGCGCTTTAAGAATCTGCAATTATAGGTATGTGGTCTGACTGAATTTATGATATACCAAAATGCACAATATATCCCCTAGATTTTGATTGCAATGGCTAGAAAATAAATTTGATGTTACTTTTATATATCCGATAATTAGTTTAAAATTAACTTCGTCAATTCATTAATTCAGATCCAATAGTAATATTTTAATATATCATCTTTATAAAAATATAACCTACTAACCGAAGACAAACCCAGAAAAACACACTACAAAGTGTGTCATTGTTGGGATTTATATTACTTTGCCAAGTTAATAGTTCTGGACATGACCATAATATAGAATTTGCGGGAACTTGGTTTTGGAACTTTTGTTCTGTTGCAAAAAGTAATCTAAGAATTGAAAGTTGTTAGATTGATAGCAGTGAAGGATAAGACATTTTTGAAACAGGATACTATAAAATAAGCATTTATAAAAAAAATTCAAAAATTTAATCATATTTTTCTTAGAATCTCTAGTAAACTATTTCATCATATTGAAGAACAAATCAATTTGGGATTCTTGACCTCTTTTTTCTTTTTAAAACCTAACTCAACAAAAGAAACTATTTAATAAACAACATAATTTCGATTTTGACTCTCGATTTCCTTTCTTTAATATAGTAAAAAAAAAAAAACTAGATCATGACCTCTGATGTGATGATATAGAAGAATAATTGATCGGGAACTTCCCATGAGCGTCTAGACTACAATCTCTATAATACATAGTAGAGTAGTGATTTGTATAATGTTTATATCCTACTATGATTGCATTAGTTAAGAAATTATGTTAAATGATATTTTCCTATATATGCTTGTATACTATATCTCAATTTTTATGAGAGTAAATACAATTATTTTTACTTTAAATTATCATCAATCTATCATAATATGAGAACATGTTATGCTCGAGTTTCGATCAAACGATCAAAATTTTATTTTTTTATTTTTTATAATTGAGGAGTATGAGACGAAGCTTTATTTTTAACATGTCATGCACTAGCCCAGCTAGGAGTGAGTTTTATCTAAGGTATGGATGTTGAATTTACCATTACAAATTTATGTTGATCTAATTTTGAATTAATGCTTTTAGAATATGCATTTAGAAGTATGTGGTGTGAATGAACTGATGATATACCAAAATGCATAATACATCGCCTAGATTTATCTACAATGGCCATGAAAAGCATTTGATGTTCAACATTACTCTTATATACCCGACTATACCATTTCCAACCTTAAAAATTAGTTTAAAATTAACTTGACCAATTTATTAATTTAGGAACATATTTTAATTTTTTATGTAAATATAACCCTTTTTTTTTTTTTTGCCTTCTCTAACCTTTAGTAAATAGTATAACCTACTAACTAGCTGTAGTTTAAAAACAAAAACGGCTACTACTATTTCCCCATGTAAAAAATTGAGGGGGTATCCAGATCAACTATAAATTATGGTATGTGTGTCATATCAATATGTAAATATAGGGGTAGATAGGTTAATATAAATAAATAGTTTTTGGTTTTGACCAAATTGATAAATACTTAAATACTAGAATATCCGAGATTCTCGTCCACCGTCACAAATCGCCGGTTGATTTCCGTTCGGCCACCGGCGAAGACTTCATCCTCACTGGCGGGTAGCGAGAAAATGACGTCTTCCTTATGGAAATCGTTACCACTTTCTTCAACGGATATCGTATTGTCGTCATTCTTCGCCGTGAATATGAAGCCCATCCCTCCCGGTGATTAGAAAATTTCGAACTGTAATTTTGGTAATTAAGATTTTGATAATTCATTCAAATGCTTTGAGATCCATAGGAATCGGCTTTTATTACTTGCTATTAAATTTTCCGTTTTAGTTTATTAATTTCCTCCTTAAATTCTGCAACTTTTCTAGGGTTTTAGCTTTGTACCATCGTGAGATTTCCTAAAAACTTCAGAAATCTCCATGTGCATTCTAAGCTTGTGCTTTAAGTATGTTGAATATTATTATATAATTCCACTAATCCCCAGGTAAACTGCAAGATGAAGTTAAAGTTCATAACTTTCTTTATCTCTGCAACTATATTTTGAGTATTTTGCTTCTCATTCATTTGAGATATTTTCTAAGAAAGGCAAAAGAAGATGGTGTTCTTTTGTGTTCTTGTTCTATGTAGTTCAAATGTGCATATTTGCTAATGTGTTTCCAAGATTTTTGTTGATTTTGTGTTTGTATATAGCTTGAGGGATGGGGAAGACGAATGTATTATCAAAAATCAGAGCTTTCAATGGCGTCAATAGACCCATATATGTTTTGGCTGGTTTGGCTTTTCTTATCTCAGTAGCTACATTAGCTAAGTTCAATTACATCACACCACTACGCTTCTCTGATCGGTTCTGTAACTATCATGGAAGCTTTGACGGCGACAACTACAATATCGGAAGCCAAATGAGAAAGACAATCGAAACCGCCATTTTTAAAATCCACCAAGAAATGGATGATCTCAAGGCTTTAGAAGCCAACTCTTCTTCTTCTTCTCCATCATCTGATTCATCAGCTTCTGGATCCATGTTTAGGCATGTAGCTTTTCTAGCGGATGTTCTTTCGCTAGTTCAGTCGGTTCATATGGAATTGCCTTCTTTTGAAGAGAGATTTGTAGCGGATCATCCGTTGAAGCAGCAGAACGGTGACCCGGGGGAGCATTTTATGAGAGAAGAGATAAAGAAGTACATAAAGATCAAACCAAACCGGCTTGGGAAGCAGAACTTCATGGGAGCTAACGGAACTTTCACCTCGATCGGGCATGCTTGTTTTGCGATGAAGGAAGATCTAGAAGAGTATATGGACTATGATGTTGGGGAAATCTGCAACGATGATTGGAGGTTAGCTCAGAAGCTTATGGTTCACGGATGCGATCCGTTGCCTAGAAGACGGTGCTTCTCCCGTGGCCCGCAGTTATACCACAAACCGTTTCCAATCAACGAGTCTTTATGGAAGCTTCCGGATAATCGGAATGTAAGATGGGGACAGTATAAGTGCAAGAACTTCGCTTGCTTAGCTAGCAACACAATAGCACGAAAAGGGTTCTTTAAATGCACTGATTGCTTCAACCTCACGTACCACGAATCGCCGAGATGGCTTAACCGAGGCGAAGTTGATCTTGAGACGAACCAAACTGCGGATTTCTCGATAGCTGAAGTACTAGAGATTAAACCGGGAGAGATTAGAATCGGATTGGATTTCAGCATTGGCACAGGAACTTTCGCAGCGAGGATGAGAGAACAGAACGTCACGATTGTATCAGCAACAATCAACCTCGGCGCTCCATTCAACGAGATGATCGCACTGCGCGGTTTAGTCCCGTTGTACTTAACTGTGAACCAACGGTTACCGTTCTTCGACAGCACTCTTGATATGATTCACACGACGAGGTTTCTCGATGGATGGATTGATCTAATACTTCTTGATTTCGTGCTGTATGACTGGGACAGGGTTTTAAGACCAGGGGGATTGTTGTGGATCGATGGTTTCTTCTGTCTGAAAGAAGATTTGAGTGATTACATGGAAGCGTTTAAAGCGTTGAGGTATAGGAAACATAAGTGGGTTGTGGTACCTAAGAAAGATAAAGATGATAAAGAAGTTTTCTTCTCTGCTGTGTTAGAGAAACCTCCAAGACCCTTTAGATGATTGACCATTGCATAGTCTCTTTGTTTACTAGTATTATTATCTTTGTAATAATATTCTTAAAAAAAAAAACAGAATGTTAAAATAAATTGAGATGTGTTTTAGTTATATATGTATGTTCCAATTTGCTTGTATAAAATTCAGAAGAACTATTTCATTCACCTAAAAAAACTAAGTGTTATATTTTTCTTTTTGCTCAGAATTTTTTTCAAATTACTTTAAAGTGTGTTTGATCGACATTATGAATGTGTAATGTAAGATATGATACGACGTAGTTTAGCAGTCATTTTAACTAGAAGCACAAGCACACTTACTTATGTAACTCTCTGAGCGACAAAGAGGGTTCTTATCAATCTCCACTAGGTTCGGACTCAACGAACCACTAGGCTCGGACCGAGGAACGCGCGGTATATAAAACAAATTTGCCTCTTTATCTATCGATTCCGTTACTTGGGCTCATTGGAGGAAATCGGAGAATGGAGGAGGAAAAGCTAGAAATCGTCGGACCATTGGAGGAGCCGTTGATGGGAAACATCGTACCAGAGAAGATCAACGGCTTGGATTCGCTTTCTTCATCAGATACTGATAGCGAGAAACCAGATTCTCCCGTTCCGATCAATGCTCCGATCTACCGGATGTTTGGAAGAGAACGACCAATTCACATGGTTCTCGGCGGAGGTAAACGTACGAAACACTCTCTACACTCGTTCCATTTTCATTTCTCACAGATTGGTTCGGTCTCATGATATATCGCATTTAGGGTTCTTTTGGATGTGAATTTGTATAAAGAGAGATTAGTGGCGATTGATTGATTGATTATGTGACCTAATCAGCTAGTGGTTGGGTAATTTGTTGAAGCTGCTGATGTGATACTGTGGAGAGACAAGAAGGTCACCTTAGGATTACTCAGTGTAGTAACTGTGATTTGGCTTTTGTTTGGATTTTGTGGTTGTCGTCTTCTCACATCCATTTGTCGTGGCTCGATCCTCTTTCTGCTTCTATCATTCCTCTGGTCCAATGCCCTCAACAAGTAAAGCCTTTTTTTTGGACCTTGAAATATATATATATGTAAGCAAATCTTGATATGATTCCTTGTTTGCTAATCTGAGAATTTTACATTATCATTTTATAGATCTCCAGAGAACATAATGGAGATTTATATCCCCGAGAAGCCATTACTCCAAGCTGCTTCTGCGATGACCTTTGAGCTTAACTGTGCTTTTGCAACCTTAAGGAGCATTGCTTTAGAGAGAGACATCAAGAACTTTGTTATGGTGCTTGTTTAGTTTCTCAAGTCTTTTTTTTAGAAAAGTCTTTGAAATGATTCATTGACTTGTTTTTATGTTTTGGTTCTGAAAACATAGGCACTCATTGGACTTTGGCTTGTATCGATCATCGGAAACTGGTTCAGCTTCTTGTCATTGCTCTACATCTGTAAGTACACAATGCTGGTTCTTCCCAGACTCTTGGTTTTTCTACTTAGGGAATTATGTCTTGACCTAACTGAAACCAACAGGTTTTGTACTGATTCACACGGTGCCAATGCTTTATGAGAAGTACGAAGATGAGATTGATCCCATTGCAGAGAAGGCTATGATTGAGATGAAGAAGCAATACCAAGTTTTTGAAGCCAAGGTTTTTAAGTAAGATCCCTCATTAGCCAAACTACTCAGAAAATCGAAATTGAATTAGATTCGCTTACTTAGTTTAGTTCATTCATTTATTTTTTCCTTTTCTTTGGGGGTCCAAACCGTTTCGAGTCATTCCTCTGTTCATGTGATTTTGGTTACTTCCTACTCAAGCCATCTAAACTTTTGTGGATACTACAAAATAGGCTGGACCATGAAAATAATTTCTAAAACTCTCCCCCTATTTTCTACATACTACATAGCTATGGAAATCTTAAGCTTACAGTTTAAACTAGTTAATTATCACCAATTACAACAAATCACAAAAAAAAAGAAAAAAGAAGAACACAATTGGTTGGGCTTAACTTCAATGTTTCAAGCCCATTAAACACCGACAGATCCAACATTACAACCCGATTTTAAAAACGGGTAAACAAATACTAAACACTTCCCAATCGCCATTGTTACTCTGTTTTGAGATCTCCCTCCACGGCCGTATCATCAGATCTACACTTCCACTCTGTATATTTCCTCTCACACTCTCCAATTCAATTCAGTTCTCAAACTTGTGAATTAAAACGAAACCATTTCTCCAAATTTGTTCATCTCCAGCAACAACAAAAAAAAAAATGGCGCAGCAAAAGTTTCTTCACCAGCGTCCAATCCAAAACCCATTCTCTTCCTCTCCTCTTTCCAATTCTTCAATCTCAAATCGACCAATTTCTCTCCTCAGCCGCAACGGTCTCCTCATCCTTCTCGCTCTCCTCGTTATCCTCGGTGTATTCTTACCCTGGGCAGGATCTCCTTTATTCCCGTTTCCAAACAGACTCTCTTCTTCTCAATCCAAATGGCGCGACTACTCCCTCCCTCAAGCCGTCAAGTTCGTAGCTAAGAACGGAACTGTGATCGTCTGCGCCGTGAGCTATCCTTACTTGCCTTTTCTCAACAATTGGTTGATTAGTGTTTCTAGACAGAAGCATCAGGATCAAGTTCTCGTTATCGCTGAGGATTACGCTACTCTCTATAAGGTTAACGAGAAATGGCCTGGTCACGCCGTTCTCATCCCTCCGGCGTTAGATTCTCAGACCGCTCATAAATTCGGTTCCCAGGTATAAAATCTTTTCCGATCCAGTTTCATCTCTAGCTTGAGATATACTTAGCTTTCACTTCATGGAATCTAGCTGAGAAATGGCTTGGAAATCTGAGATTTCATACTTAGTTTTGTCTTGGATGTTCGTTGATTAGCTAGTGTTATTTTACAGGAATCATAAGTTTGTTTAGTGTTCCTGAGGTTTCGCTTTTGAGCTGTGTTGGTTTGGTACATACATGGATCATCTTATGAATAACAAAAGATAGTGAACTCGTGGATGTAGTAGCAGCTGTGTTTCCACTGTTTGCTGTATGTGATAGTTTACGTGAAGTGCCTGTATTGCAATGGAATCAATTGTTTTAACTAATTTCTCTTATTCGATTAGGGTTTCTTCAATTTCACAGCTCGGAGGCCGCAACATCTCTTGGAAATTTTGGAGCTAGGTTACAATGTTATGTACAACGATGTTGATATGGTCTGGTTGCAAGATCCATTTCAGTATTTGGAGGGAAAGCACGATGCGTACTTCATGGATGATATGACTGCGGTATTTATAGGATTTCTCAGACATCTCCTTCGTCGATGGTATTGAATTAGTGTATTTATTATCTTCTTGATTATGGTGTCAGATTAAGCCTTTGGATCACTCTCATGATTTACCACCTCCGGGTAAAAAGGGAAGGACTTATATTTGTAGCTGTATGATTTTCTTGCGTCCTACTAATGGGGCAAAACTTCTCATGAAGAAATGGATTGAGGAGCTTCAAACCCAGCCTTGGTCCCGAGCTAAGAAAGCAAATGATCAGCCTGGTTTTAACTGGGCACTTAACAAAACAGCTCATCAGGTATGTTCCTTCTTCCTAGTGCCACAATAAAACAGTAACTTTCTGTAAATTGGTCTCAAGCTTTTATTACACAATTGTTGAATTCAATGACATTGGAGCAAAAGACTGAACCTTTTGCTACTCAGAGATTCTGGATTATCTAACCTTGGCTAGTCATAACTCTAATCTACTTAATGTTCAATGATGATTTACAAGCTTGTTTGTTATCAACTCTGGAATCTACTTATGAATTTTTATTACTCAAGTTAATGATATCAAAGCTTAAATTATCAAAAGACTGAACCTTTTAGTAGTCCTACGAATGTTGTTTAAAACTGAGAGTTGTTTTGAATTCATTCTCAACTCTTTTATGCTACCTCTGTCCTGCAGGTGGATCTCTACATGCTATCTCAGGCAGCTTTCCCAACAGGAGGATTGTATTTCAAGAACAAAACATGGGTTAAAGAAACAAAGGGAAAACATGTCATAATCCATAATAACTACATAGTCGGTTTTGAGAAGAAGATCAAACGTTTCCGTGACTTTAATCTATGGCTAGTCGATGACCATGCTTCCGAGTCTCCATTAGGGAAAGTAGGGTAAATCCGAATGGCAAAAAAAAAAAGATTGTTCGTCTCACTCTGCCTCTCTCTTTTCTTGTTGTTATTGGAATATTCAGGTTGCACAAAGGAAGAAAGATCTAGTGAGTAAAAAAAAAAAATTGGGCAAAAAATCTAGTGAGTAAATTCTTTTACATATTTGGGGGTCTTTAAAGTTATGTGAAGAGGTGTTCAATACGACTTGAGTTGAATATGGTAATGTAGACTGCTAGAATTGGTATTGGGTCTGACAATTCATTCATTCAAGTCATATTGAATCAGCATTTACACCATGGACATGGACATGGTCTCTGGACTATATGGTGGGGTTAACAAAAGCGGAAATAACAAAACCGTATCAATGTTTGTGGATGATTATTTGTCATAAAAAGACGTAACTAATAGTATTTTGTTTGTTGGGATACCAATTGATATTTCTTATATGGAAATCAAATATATGTTATTGAGTTTTTGATTGCGAATTTCATGGATTATTGTTTTTTTTTTTTTTTCTTTTCATGATGGCAACAATGAAAATAGTTTAGTTATTATGACCGATAGATTGCAAATTCTGTTTCTAGAAAAATGAAAAGGCGAAAACAATTTGACAAACATGAAGTATTGAAATTGATTTTCTAACGGATTTTGGTAGAAAAACGAGTTTTGCAAATTTCAAAAATAATCCAAAACAATACTGACAGCTAGCATATGAATATGAGGGTCCACATGATTATGAAACATATTTATTTGAATTATAGTTGGGGTGTTATTTCCATACTTTAGAACATGTGACTAATTTTACAATGGTCTTTAGACTTTTTGGAGGATGCCTGCCTGCTTATGTAAGATTTACCGTAAATAATGAAAAAACATAAATTAAATACTACTAGTTCTTTGACGTCCATTGTTGGTCACTCTAGACTTTTCATTCGTGTGTTACTAAAACTATTTATTCCCAGATCTGCTGATATATTTATTGCAATTACTAAATCCATTTTCCATAAATAATGATTTCTATGTAACTCGCTCGATAAGTTAGATTATGCGTGTAACAACAACATAAGAACAGAATATTTGTAAATATTTTTCGTGGTTACGCAATTAAAAATACCATAATGATAATAAAAGGATAATATATTTTTCAGTCACACCAAAAAATTGATAAGAAAGAAAATAAAAAAGAAAAAAAGAGAAAGACAGAGAAGCAAAGATTCTTGCTCCCTTCGAATCCGCAGCTGCTTCGAAACGCAAATCCGATTTGTAAAAATTCTCTCTATAGAGCGAGTCTCCTTTGATTCTGCCATTGACGCCAAGAGATATATAGCTTCTCTCTCTCTCTCTCTCTATCTTCTGTTGCTTTTACTAAGCTCACAAGAAGAATCTACGCATCTCTACTGTACAGAGTAATCTCTCCGGAGTTGCATGTAGAGAAATGGGTTCTCTGGAATCTGGGATTCCGACGAAGAGAGATAACGGCGGCGGGAGAACTGGAAGACAGCAGCAACTACAACAACAGCAACAGTTCTTCTTGCAGAGAAACAGATCGAGACTCTCCAGATTCTTTCTATTGAAGAGTTTTAATTACCTTCAATGGATTTCCTCAATTTGTGTGTTCTTCTTCTTCGTTGTGCTGTTCCAGATGTTTTTGCCAGGTCTGGTGATTGATAAATCTGATAAACCATGGACTAGTAAGGAGATTTTGCCACCTGATTTGCTGGGTTTTAGAGAGAAAGGGTTTTTGGATTTCGGTGATGATGTTAGATTTGAGCCCACCAAGCTTCTGATGAAATTCCAGAGAGAGGCTAATGGTTTGAATTTCACATCATCTTCTCTCAATACGACTCTGCAGCGTTTTGGATTCAGAAAGCCCAAGCTAGCTCTGGTCAGTAGTTATGATTAGAAAATGAATTGTTCTAATGATACATTGTGGTTGGTCTTATTGAGATCTGATGACTGCATTGTGGTTTTTTCTCTTGTTAAGGTTTTTGCCGATTTGTTAGCTGATCCAGAACAGGTGTTAATGGTGTCTCTCTCCAAGGCACTTCAAGAGATTGGCTATGCAATTGAGGTATAGATTTTTGCTTCTTCTTGTATTCCTTTTTGCTCTTTTGTTTATCAGCAATATGATAACTCGAAACCTCAAACTTGTCATGGTAGGTTTACTCGCTTGAAGACGGTCCAGTGAATAGTATTTGGCGGAAAATGGGAGTTCCTGTCACAATACTCAAGACTAATCATGCATCGAGTTGTGTTATCGACTGGCTGTCGTATGTCTCGCCTATCTTGTGCTATTTGCATTGCTTGGAACTAGTAAAGCATGTCTTGATTAATTCAGAACTGGGATATAATCTTGAGGCTATGCTTAATTTGATTTACTCATGTGATTGAGTTTAACTGGATAATGTGGATCTGAGGTTGATCAATTGCATTATGGGTGCTATTCTTCTAATATTATAGTGCAAACTTAGTTGACTTGACTTGGTCAATGCAATGATTTTTAATCATTGAATTTTTTTTTTTGTTTCTTATCTTGAAGCTATGATGGCATAATTGTGAACTCTCTCCGAGCTAAGAGTATGTTTACTTGGTAAGATTTACGGTTCTTTAGTATGAGTGTATATCACATAGTTCTGGTTTTTGTTTTTAATCATGGTATATTTAAATGAGAATTTATATATACTGTATATAGACACACATATATTTGTTACCTATGTGGATTTTTTCCGAACTTCTTGATAGTTTAAACTATTTTTATTCTTTGACAGCTTCATGCAAGAACCTTTCAAATCTTTGCCTCTTATTTGGGTCATCAATGAAGAAACTCTTGCTGTTCGGTCTAGACAGTACAACTCAATAGGGCAGACTGAACTCCTCAATGACTGGAAAAAGATTTTCAGCCGGGCATCGGTCGTAGTCTTCCATAATTATCTCCTTCCGGTAACGTGTAGGATTAGAACTACAAAAAAAAATATTTTTGTTTCTGCTTTGCAATAGGTTTCTGGAGTATGTTGGGTCTTTTGGATAATTATCTTGTTTCACCTTTTGCTTCATACAGATACTCTACACCGAGTTCGATGCTGGCAACTTCTATGTGATTCCCGGATCTCCTGAAGATGTATGGAAAGCAAAGAATCTGGAGTTTCCTCCACAGAAAGATGATGTGGTCATTTCCATTGTGGGAAGTCAGTTCTTGTACAAGGGTCAATGGCTGGAACATGCCCTGCTTCTGCAAGCTCTACGGCCGTTATTTCCAGGCAATTACCTTGAAAGTGATACTTCCCATCTCAAGATCATTGTTTTAGGTGGAGAGTCAGCTTCCAACTACAGCGTAGCTATTGAGGTATAACAAGGTCTGCTTTGCTATTGGTATGAGATTTTAAAGATAGAGAATACAAAATCACTAACCTTGTTACTTGGTTTTTTCGAACTTCTTAGACAATTTCCCAGAACTTGACATATCCAAAAGATGCTGTGAAGCACGTAAGCATCGCGGGGAATGTTGATAAGATACTTGAAAGTTCTGATCTTGTTATATATGGATCATTTCTTGAGGAGCAGTCTTTTCCAGAAATTTTGATGAAGGCCATGTCCTTGGGAAAACCTATAGTTGCACCAGACCTCTTCAACATTAGAAAACATGTATGCTCCTTCTTACCTTGCCTGTGTCTTGATGGAAATGTGTTGTTGCATGTTCTCTGTCCATTTCCTTGTTCACTGACTGTATTTGCAATATTAAATAGGTTGATGACAGGGTTACTGGGTATCTCTTCCCCAAGCAGGATCTTAAGGTTCTATCGCAAATTGTTCTTGAAGTGATAACAGAAGGGAAAATATCTTCATTGGCTCAGAAGATTGCCATGATGGGGAAAACAACTGTTAAAAATATGATGGCTCGGGAAACCATAGAAGGTTATGCAGCTCTACTAGATAATATGCTCAAGTTTTCTTCGGAAGTTGCTTCTCCTAAGGATGCACAAAAAGTTCCTCCAGAACTGAGAGAAGAGTGGAGTTGGCATCCATTTGAAGCTTTTCTGGATACATCGCCAAATAATAGAACAGCAAGAAGTTATGAGTTTTTAGCGAAGGTTGAGGGTCATTGGAACCATACCCCAGGAGAATCTATAATATTTGGAGCTGTTAATGATGATTCGTTCGTGTATGAAATTTGGGAAGAAGAGAGATATCTTCAAATGATGAATAGTAAAAAAAGACGAGAAGACGAGGAGGTAAGCTTTAGATGCGAGTTTTTGAAATGACGTTCTCATCTCCGTTTCCTACATGCTAATTTGATTTGTTTTGTGTTATTACGCAGCTGAAAAGCAGAGCCTTGCAGTATCGTGGAACATGGGAAGAAGTTTATAAAAGCGCCAAAAGGGCAGACCGAAGTAAGAATGATCTACATGAGAGGGATGAAGGGGAGCTGCTAAGAACCGGTCAACCTTTATGCATATATGAACCCTATTATGGTGAAGGAACCTGGTCGTTTCTACATCAATATCCCCTCTATCGGGGGGTCGGCTTGGTGAGTTTCCATGTGCAATATATTGTTTTTGCAACCATAAGATGGTCCAAAGGAGGGAAATTGTTCTCAACTGATATGAATGCATCATATTGCAGTCAGTTAAAGGACGGAGACCTAGGATGGATGATGTCGATGCATCATCACGTCTTCCGCTTTTCAACAATCCATACTATCGCGATGCTCTCGGTGACTTTGGAGCATTTTTTGCAATCTCAAACAAGATTGATCGTTTACACAAGAATTCATGGATTGGGTTTCAGTCCTGGAGAGCGACTGCCAGGAAGGTAAACAACTCTTATCTTTTTTCTTATAAAATCCTTCATCCTTTGTATAGTAGAATGCTACGTCCAGTACTAATATTACCCTGTGATGTAATGTGGGACTTCAAAACAGGAATCTTTATCCAAGATTGCTGAGAACGCATTACTTAATGCTATACAAACACGGAAACACGGAGACGCCTTATATTTTTGGGTTCGCATGGACAAAGATCCCAGAAATCCTCTGCAGAAACCCTTTTGGTCGTTCTGTGATGCCATAAATGCTGGGAATTGCAGGTAGAACACTAGAGATTCTTAAATCATAGTTTTATAACAAATGTTTGAGACTTTGGTCATTTTTACCTGACTCTTTGCAATTTATGGGCTTGGATCAAGGTTTGCTTACAACGAAACTTTGAAGAAAATGTACAGTGTCAAGAACTTGGACTCACTGCCACCAATGCCCGAGGATGAGGATACATGGTCTGTGATGCAGAGCTGGACATTGCCAACAAGATCCTTCTTAGAGTTTGTCATGTTCTCTAGGTACTTGTTTACGACATTACCCATTAATTGTCTCAATCTTAGCCTCTTTGGAAAAAAAGAGAGTACATAGAGAGTGTTTTCGCTTCTGTTTGTAGGATGTTTGTGGATTCACTGGATGCACAGATATATGAAGAGCATCATCGAACAAACCGTTGCTATCTGAGTTTAACCAAAGTAAGAAACTCATTCCTTCTTCTGCCAAAGTACATGTGTTTTAGATCTAAATCAGATCAATGAGTAATGTGTTCAATTTATCACAGGACAAGCATTGCTATTCGAGGGTACTAGAGCTTCTGGTGAACGTATGGGCTTACCACAGCGCAAGACGCATTGTCTACATAGATCCTGGGACTGGTTTGATGCAGGAGCAACACAAACAGAAGAACCGGCGAGGGAAAATGTGGGTGAAGTGGTTCGATTACACAACTCTGAAAACAATGGACGAAGATCTAGCTGAAGAAGCAGACTCAGACCGTCGTGTGGGTCACTGGCTATGGCCATGGACTGGTGAGATCGTGTGGCGCGGTACATTAGAGAAAGAGAAGCAAAAGAAGAATTTAGAGAAAGAGGAGAAGAAGAAGAAAAGTCGAGATAAGCTGACTAGAATGAGAAGTAGAAATGGTCGTCAGAAAGTGATCGGAAAATATGTAAAACCCCCGCCTGAGAACGAAACTGTTACCGGAAATTCCACTTTGTTAAATGTAGTAGACGCATAAAAAAAACAAATTAAAATTGCTTTTATTTTTTTAGGTCACACGATTTGTTTCATTCATTGTTTTTTAGAAAGATTACTGTATAAAAAGGTCTCAGGTCTCAATCATTAACTCTCTCTCTCTCTCTCGCCTCTCTTCGATTTAACCGACGGCTTAAACTCTCCGGCGGTGGAGCTTCACTGTAACAAACGAAGAAAGAGAGAAGATGGAGGAGACGCACGTTCTTGAGATCAATCTCATCTCTGCGCAAGGACTTAAAGAACCGACGGGAAAGCTCCGGCGATTGCAGACTTACGCATCCGTCTGGGTTGATTCTTCCAACAAACTCCGGACTCGAATTGATCGGATCGGCTCTGAGAATCCGATCTGGAACGACAAATTCGTTTTCCAGGTCTCGCCGGAGTTTCTATCTAGCGAAACTTCTGGCGTTTCAATCGAGATCTATGCCGTTGGTTACTTGCGAGATCATCAGATCGGAACTGTTCGCTTCCTCGTGAGTAACTTCCTCCCAACCGCCGCCGTGAAAGTTCCGTCTCTCGTCGCACTTCAGATCCGTCGTCCTTCTGGAAAGTTCCACGGCGTTCTTAACATCGCGGCTATGGTGATGGATGCTTCTGAACTTCCGGCTGATTTCTTCAAGTCCGTTCAAGAGACCCGTCGGAGTCGAAGAATGAGAAAATCGAGATCTGCGGTTAGTTCGTCGGAGAACGGTTTCGCTGATGACGGCGAGAGTTCGAAAGAGAATTCGGTTTGTGATTCGGTTAATTACTCCGACGACGGTACGGACTCGACGGCGTCTTCTCCGATGCCGTCTCCTCTCAGAGACTGGAACGCTGTTCGAAATTTGGCGGGAAAGAATCACGTGAGATCGTCATCGGACGGCGGAGGATTGATGTGCTGTTTCTTGATGAAATCGTCGGGCATGTTACCACCCCTCAAGAAGAAAAATGACGGACGGCTGAGATCTGTTATCTGATTGATTTCCAACGGTTTCAGATGTTCCTTTGGTTTCTAAACCATCGATCTTCGCCACGCGCATCCATACGCCGTCGTTTAGGCAGTTTTGGCGGTTATGAGTTTGGAAATTTTTTTGATTCTTGTTGCTGAAAAACCTATAATATACAATTTTTTTTTTTTTTTTTTTTTGTTTGTGAACGATTTAAAATTCTTTTTGATATGATGTGAAGAATGAAACCGTGATGAGCACTCAATGTTTTAGCGAGATAATGACTCCCAGGTTTCACTCAAGATCTCACCATGGTTGATGTATGTTAAACTGTGGTTAGATTGCTTTTGGACCACAGATAGAGGAAACGGCTACTCTAGCCAGCAAGGCTTCCGTACCCATTTGTCCTCTGGTGCATTCAAATGTTAAAGGAGTCATTGTCGTCTTATGCACGCGTTTTCTCATGATGTGGTGTCTTGCGACAAATCGGAGGAGCGTCTGCTTTAGGTCACAGAGTGAGTCCCTTGTATTTGCTATAAAAGGAACTTTAAGGTAGAGAGTTGTTTAAGGTGAGTATTGGTCATACAGAGAGTGAGAGAGAAAAACTTGTATTTGCTTAAACTTATTCATAGTTTTCTCTAGGTTCTAGGAACAGACAGAGTGAGCATCAAGTGCTGGTGAAGGGCATTGGTGCGGGTCACTTGTTGTTCTTATTGTAATCTCTCTGTGTGTGTTTGAATCTAGTGGATTCCGAGTATAATACTCGGCCCAGACTTAGCTACCCTTTGGGAGTGAACTGGGTTACCAAAGTTCTCGTGTTTGCTCTGTTTTCTTTCTGTTTCAAAGTCTTTAAAACACCACAAAGCAAAGCTCTGTTCTTTCCTCTGTTTCTGACACGCACAAACTCGATTCTGTTTCTCTGTTCGTGGTTTGTTTGTTTTTTCTCTCAAGGAAAGTCGACACCTTTGAGGAAAGAAATCCTTACAAAGTGGTATCAGAGCATTAGGTTCGTTGTTCTCTGGTTCTGTGAAGTTTCAAAGACACTGAACCATGTCATCGGCTCGAATAGAGATTGAAAAGTTTGATGGAAGGGGAGACTATACTATGTGGAAAGAGAAACTAATGGCGCATCTGGATATCCTAGGTCTGAGCTCTGCGTTAAAGGAAGTTGATGCTTTGGTGGAGAAAACGTCGGGTTTGACGCTGACTGAAGAAGAAGAGAAAGAAGAGATAACAAAGCAAGAAGCTTTGGAGGAAAAAAGGAGAAAAGCACGGAGCACCGTTGTGCTAAGTGTTACTGATAGAGTTCTGAGGAAGATCAAGAAACAACCAACCGCTGCGGCTATGATAAGCGCATTAGACAAGCTGTATATGTCTAAAGCGCTACCTAACAGGATCTATCTGAAGCAGAAGCTATACAGCTTCAAGATGTCTGAAAATCTCAGCATAGAAGGTAATATCGATGAATTTCTACATATTATAGCTGATCTAGAGAACACAAATGTTATTGTTTCGGATGAAGATCAAGCTATATTGTTGTTGATGTCATTACCTAAGCCGTTTGATCAACTGAGGGATACCCTAAAGTATGGTTCTGGAAGGACCACTTTAACGTTAGATGAAGTCATTAATGCAACTTACTCAAAGGAGCTTGAGTTTGGATCTAACAAGAAGAGTATCAAGGGTCAAGCTGAAGTTCTCTATGCAAAAGAGAAAACTGAGGTTAGAGGAAGAACTGAACAGAGAGACAAGAATAACACCAAAGGACAGAGATCCAGATCTAAGTCAAGATCTAAGAAAGGGTGTTGGATTTGTGGAGAGGAAGGGCACTTCAAGGGCTCTTGTCCTAACAAGAATAAGTCTCAGACTCAGTCAAAAGGCAACAATGCTAGCAAAGGAGAATCGTCAAATGGTAAAAGTCATTTAGCTGAAGCAAATGGCCTATATGTGTCAGAAGCACTGTCCTCTACTGACATTCATCTCGAAGACGAATGGGTCATGGATACTGGCTGCAGTTATCACATGACACACAAGAGGGAATGGTTTGATGATCTAGATGAGAATGCTGGCGGTACTGTGAGAATGGGCAACAAGACTGTTGCTAGAGTAAAAGGAGTCGGTTCTATCAGAATGATAAATGAAGCAGGCACAAGTGTTACTCTTACAAATGTAAGATATGTCCCAGAGATGGATAGAAACCTTTTGTCCTTGGGAACTTTCGAAAAGGCTGGTTGTAGTTTTGAGTCAGAAAATGGGATCTTAAGTATCAAGTCCGCAGGAAGTGTGTTTCTGACTGGTAGGAGATGTGACACACTGTATTTGCTGCAATGGAGACCTGCAAATGGAGAATCACTTGCAGTAACAAGGAGACAAGATGATACTGTTCTGTGGCATAGGAGATTGGGACATATGAGTCAGAAAAACATGAGTCTACTGCTGAAAAAGGGGCTTCTTGACAAGAAGAAGGTCTCAACTTTTGAGACATGTGAAGACTGCATTTATGGTAGAGCCAAGAGGATTGGTTTCACTTTGGCTCAACATGATACAAAAGAGAAGCTTGAATATGTTCACTCTGACCTATGGGGAGCTCCATCAGTGCCATTTTCTCTTGGTAAGTGTCAATATTTTATATCATTTATTGATGATTACACAAGAAAAGTCTGGGTCTATTTTCTAAAAACTAAAGATGAGGCATTTGAGAAGTTTGTTGATTGGATTAACTTTGTGGAGAATCAATGTGATAAGAGAGTTAAAACTCTTAGAACAGACAATGGGCTTGAGTTTTGTAACAGGTTATTTGATGAGTTCTGCATGTCTAAGGGGATTCAAAGGCATAGAACGTGTGCATATACTCCACAACAAAACGGTGTTGCAGAGCGTATGAACAGAACTCTGATGGAGAAAGTAAGAAGCATGATGTGTGACTCTGGTCTCCCAAAGAAATTTTGGGCAGAAGCTACACATACTGCAGCTATTATCATCAATAAGACTCCATCATCGGCTCTGAACTTTGAGGTGCCTGATAAGAAATGGTTTGGTAAAGCACCAGTCTACAGTTATTTAAGAAGATTCGGGTGTATCGCCTTTGTTCATACTGATGATGGTAAACTCAGCCCTAGAGCAAAGAAGGGAGTTCTTATAGGTTATCAAACTGGGGTGAAGGGCTACAAGATCTGGTTACTTGAAGAAAGGAAGTGTGTTGTGAGTAGAAATGTGATTTTTCAAGAAAATGCTGCTTACAAAGATTTGATGCAGAAGAAGGAAGCAGTGTATGATGAAGAAGATGCCACTCCTAACTCCTATCTTGATCTTGATCTTGATATTGATGAGGGTTCTACCTCAGGTGGAGATAACCTGAATGAGTCTGTTGTGCAGTCACCTGCAAGATCAAGTCCTGCAACTCATGCAATTCGTAATGATGATGTTGGTATTCAGACTGACTTAAGTCAGTCACCTCCAAGTTACCATCTAGCAAGGGATAGAACAAGAAGAGAGATCAGAGCACCAAGACGCTTTGATGATGAAGACTATTTTGCTGAAGCTCTTTACACCACAGAAGATGGTGGAGAAATTGAACCAGAAAATTACAGGGAAGCTAAAAGAGATGCAAATTGGCTCAAATGGAAGCTTGCTATGGATGAGGAAATGAATTCTCAGACCAAGAATCATACTTGGACTGTAGTTAAAAGGCCATTGAATCAAAAGGTTATTGGCAGCTGATGGATTTTCAAGTTCAAAATGGGAATCCCAGGAGTTGAGGAACCAAGATTCAAAGCAAGGCTTGTAGCCAAGGGATATGCTCAAAGAGAAGGTGTGGACTATCATGAGATCTTTGCTCCAGTAGTCAAGCATGTCTCTATAAGGATCTTACTGTCAATTGTTGCTCAAGAGGACTTGGAGTTAGAGCAACTAGATGTTAAAACAGCTTTCCTACATGGTGAGCTCAAAGAGAAGATCTACATGACACCTCCTGAAGGTTATGAATCCATATTCAAAGAAGATGAGGTGTGTCTGCTAAATAAATCCCTTTATGGTCTGAAGCAAGCTCCAAAGCAATGGAATGAGAAATTTGACACATATATGTCAGAGATCGGATTTGTGAGAAGTTATTTTGACAGTTGTGCATACATGAAAGAACTTCCTGGTGGTTCAATGGTTTACTTGCTGCTCTATGTAGACGATATGCTGGTAGCAGCCAAGAATAAAGAGGATATTGTTCAGCTCAAAGAAGACCTTAATCAGAAGTTTGACATGAAGGATTTAGGTGAAGCTAAAAGAATTCTGGGCATGGAGATTGTCAGAAACAGAGGAGATGGTGTTCTCTGGTTATCACAAGAAGGCTATTTGAATAAGATTCTTGAAACTTATTCTATGACTGAAGCAAAGTCTGCACTAACTCCTCTGGGAGCTCACTTAAAATTGAGAGCAGCAACAGTTGAGAAACAGGCACAGGATGAAGACTACATGAAATCAATTCCCTACTCAAATGCTGTAGGAAGCATCATGTACGCAATGCTAGGTACTCGTCCTGATCTTGCTTATCCTGTTGGTATGATCAGCCGTTTCATGACTAATCCTGTTAAAGAGCACTGGCTTGGAGTCAAGTGGGTCTTAAGATACATAAATGGTACTCAGAAGACTAAGTTGTTCTACCAGAAGAGTTCTGAGTTTAAGATTGTTGGTTATTGTGATGCTGATCATGGAGCTGATCGTGACAAGAGAAGATCAATCACTGGACTTGTGTTTACTCTTGGAGGAAACACTATCAGTTGGAAGTCAGGATTACAGAGAGTTGTGGCTCTCTCAAGTACTGAAGCTGAATATATGTCACTGACAGAAGCAGTGAAAGAAGCAGTATGGCTTAAGGGTCTGCTAAAGGAGTTTGGGTATGAACAAAGGAGTGTTGAGATTCACTGTGATTCTCAAAGTGCAATAGCACTCTCCAAGAATAATGTGCATCATGAAAGAACAAAGCACATAGACATCAGATATCACTATATCCGGGATGTGATTGCAAATGGTGATGTTGATGTGGTCAAGATTTCTACTGAGAAGAATCCAGCAGACATCTTTACCAAGATCGTGCCTGTAAATAAGTTTCAGGCGGCCTTGACCTACCTACAGGTCAAGTCTGAGTAAGTATGCTCAGGGAATCCGAGTATGGGATCCTGCAACTAGATTTAAAAGGTATCTTTCTCTTCTCTCTTAGGTTCTGTGAGTTTGTGTGCTACTGTCATCAAGGTTTCAGGTGGAGATTTGTGAAGAATGAAACCGTGATGAGCACTCAATGTTTTAGCGAGATAATGACTCCCAGGTTTCACTCAAGATCTCACCATGGTTGATGTATGTTAAACTGTGGTTAGATTGCTTTTGGACCACAGATAGAGGAAACGGCTACTCTAGCCAGCAAGGCTTCCGTACCCATTTGTCCTCTGGTGCATTCAAATGTTAAAGGAGTCATTGTCGTCTTATGCACGCGTTTTCTCATGATGTGGTGTCTTGCGACAAATCGGAGGAGCGTCTGCTTTAGGTCACAGAGTGAGTCCCTTGTATTTGCTATAAAAGGAACTTTAAGGTAGAGAGTTGTTTAAGGTGAGTATTGGTCATACAGAGAGTGAGAGAGAAAAACTTGTATTTGCTTAAACTTATTCATAGTTTTCTCTAGGTTCTAGGAACAGACAGAGTGAGCATCAAGTGCTGGTGAAGGGCATTGGTGCGGGTCACTTGTTGTTCTTATTGTAATCTCTCTGTGTGTGTTTGAATCTAGTGGATTCCGAGTATAATACTCGGCCCAGACGTAGCTACCCTTTGGGAGTGAACTGGGTTACCAAAGTTCTCGTGTTTGCTCTGTTTTCTTTCTGTTTCAAAGTCTTTAAAACACCACAAAGCAAAGCTCTGTTCTTTCCTCTGTTTCTGACACTCACAAACTCGATTCTGTTTCTCTGTTCGTGGTTTGTTTGTTTTTTCTCTCAAGGAAAGTCGACACCTTTGAGGAAAGAAATCCTTACATATGATGAATATGAAACCAAATATATTTTGTTTGGTCACATTAATAATTAAAAAAAATGTAAAAGTGAAACAAAACGCGGGAAGTCGTTTATGAAGTTTTGAGGAGATAATTGTTAGTTTAACGGCCAGATTAGTTAAAACCACCGATTCCGTCGTACCAGAAAAAACAAAATCATCTTATTATAATACAATTCACTCTCTCTCTCGTCTTCTTCAATCTTCTCTGTTTGTGACTTTCTCTTCTATCAGAAACTGCAGCTCGTGAAAACAGGTAAATCAATGTTTAGTTTTAGGGTTTTTATTAATATTGAGCTAGCTCATCATATATATAACTCGATCATGTTTTTGCTATATATGATCTCGAATTAGGTTTGATTATGGCAAAGTTTACGAGAATGATAACAGCCATGGAGCTGAGAGCCACGGTGGAAAACCGAATTCGATACTCTACAAAACACATTAAACACTTGCCACCTGGCACAATCACTGAGTTTGATTGGAAGGATTACTGTCCATTGGGTTTCGGGTAATAACATAATCTCTTGTTTGATAAAAACATAGTATTATATAGTTTCTTAATTGTTTTCAGGTAAAATTAAAGAAATGATTTTTTGTAATGTTGTTTGTAGACTTATACAAGAACTTGAGGGTATTGATCATGATGATTACTTGCTTTCCATTTGCACTGATGAGACTATTAAGAAGCTTTCTTCTGGGAAAATTGGAAACGTCTTTCATATTTCCAATGATAACCGTTTTCTCATCAAGATTCTTCGAAAATCCGAAATTAAGGTACTCCATTAATATTGTACCTTTTTGTAAGTATTCTCGATCGCCATTGAATCTTTCATTGATCTTGTGATTAAATATTTCTAGGTGACACTAGAGATGCTTCCCCGTTACTACCGACATATTAACTATCACAGATCATCACTATTCTCAAGGATTTATGGTGTTCACGCTGTGAAGCCTGTTGGAGGTGTTAAGGTTATAATGGATTATTATTATATATGAATCTATCTATGATGATGAGAGTTTTATGATCAGCCACTAGCTAATTAAGTTTTTTTTTTTTTTTGGATACAGACATATTTTGCTGTCATGTCAAACATGCTACATCCAACGGTCTTTATGAACAAGCTCTATGATCTTAAAGGTTCTCCGAAAGGTCGATCTAACAAGAAAATTGAAGTCAGAAACACCACTGTTTTAAAGGACATCGATCTCGATTTCTCTTTCTACGTTGATCCATTAGCCAGACAACGCATCATCAAGTATTCTCTTTCTTTCTACCATCTTTTAATTGATTCTAGCTAGCTACTCAACAATTTATTAAACACAAAAGGGTCATGCTCATTACAGGCAAACAAAGATAGATTGCGAGCTTTTGGAAGAAGAAGGTATAATGGATTATAGCTTATTGGTTGGTTTACAATCTAAAGGCTCATGTCAAGGTAAGGTTTCTTCATTTTCTTCTCTATTCTTAGTAGTGAAACTATTCGCATATCGTCTTCCAACTTCTCTGATCATAATAAATCACCTCTTAACTAGGTTCACTTGATGGATTGAACCCGGTTTACGGTAGCTGCGCACCTCCATGTATAAAATCTTTACCAACATTCTTTTATCTCTGTTTTAGCAAGTCTACAACATAAATATATATATATGATGTCTATCAATTAAATTGGCAGGCTCGTTCAAAAGCGCTAGCACAAAGTCGATGAAGACGGCTTCTAGTTCTCCTGATAGATCTTCTCTAACAATGTATTCATGCTCTCCCGATAGAGGTAAATAAATATTCTTTTGTAACAATGTACTTTTTTTTGTCTAACCAAAGTACTTAGGAACATAAATTACAATTGTTATAATCTTTACAGATATAGTAGAATGCGAAAAGTCAATGACTATACAATCAGTGACAAGCAATAGCTCAGAAACAAGTCAGATAAACAAAAAAAGCATAGTAGCAGCAACAATCAGTGACTTGTTTCACAATAGGTAAAGAAGTATCATATATGACATTGTTAGAAATTTCACATAGGAAAAAAAAAAGCTAACGTTTCTTGTTTCAGCTCAAATATCAGTTTTGGGATGAAGATTCCGGCCAAAGCACGGCGAGTGACGAGAGAGACCGGAGAAGAAGAATGGTACGATGTCGTTTTGTATATAGGGATCGTAGACACATTTCAAGACTATGGTATGAAGAAACGCATAGAACATTGTTACAAATCCATCCAACATAACTCAAACTCAATCTCGACCGTCCATCCTAAGATCTACTCTTCTAGATTCCAAGACTTTGTCTCCAACATCTTCGTACCTCACGATGACGATCTCTCTCTGTGAAATATTGACTTGTTTTTTATTATAGTTACGGTTTAATTTCGAAGTGGAATTGTTAGAGTGTAAAGAGGTACTCTTCTTACGACCCAAGTTGGTGTTGGTGTTTGTTGTCCAAAAAATCCTCTCTTTTCTTATTTCATTGTTGATCGATCAACAATATGTAGAGAAATTCACATGCAACTTTTCTTTCTTAAACTAAAGAATTGGCAATAAAATTTGGAAATCATCTAAGTATGTGTACCAGTATCAATTGAATCCTGGTCTTATTTTAATTATAGTAATTGTCTATTTTTTGCAATTAATTATTTAGATATATATAATTATATATGTATACATATATATGTATTGATATTTTGTAAACATTATATAAGTATATTTATAATTAGCTAAATACTAATAAGATTACGGTCGGATCAGTCGATTATACTATCTTTTATGTTGATTCCCCGAATAATATTCATTTCAAAATTGTTGAATCGTCAATGAATATCAAAAATAAGAAAGATAAAGAGGAAAATCTAAACTTCATTAATCAGATATAAAATATCGAATACGCCAAACATAGGGTATGACTGGTTATCATATATAGAAGAAAAGAAGTGAGAAGAAAACAAAATATTCTCAGTTCTTCAATTATTTCACTGGTCAAAAAGATTTTTTCTTCCAGCAAAATAATATCTTTTCTTCTCATTTCCTCCACTTTTACAAAAAACAAGTAACAAATTTCATACCACAAATACATGGTAGAATATGACAAAAAAAAAAAATACATGGTAGAATTTTTTCTTCTTCTAACTTTACTTTTCTTTTCTTCTCTCTTCCTTTCTTTTCTTTCCTTCCTGTTTCCTTTGAGACATTCCAGTCACACCCATAAAGATTTAGTATTAATTTATAATCTCAAAAACTCTAAAACCCATCAATTCATATAATAATCATTAAAAATTAGATAAAAGATAAATAATAAAATTTAGAAATAATCTAAATATCCCGCATATCAATTAATTTAAATAACTATAATGAAATTTCAAGGCTTATTCTTAAGTATAAGTGTTAAATTTGTTTTAAATTTTAGTGAAAATCATTATTATTTTTTAAAAATGAGTTTAAGTGTTAAATCTATATTACTTGAAAACATGCCGAACTTTGAACACCAAAGTTTACGGACCAACTACGGACAGGATGCTTAGGCGCGGTTAGTTTTCGATGTGTTTGAAATTTAACACTTAAACTAATTTTTTTAAAATTTCATGGTTTTATTCTTAAATTTTAAGTTTTAAATTTGTTTTAAATTTTAGTGAAAATCATCATTATTTTTTAAAAATGAGTTTAAGTGTTAAATCTATATTACGTGAAAACATTGCCGAACTTCGAACACCAAAGCTTACAGACCAACTAAGGACAGGATGCCTAGGCGCGGTTAGTTTTCGACGTGTTTAAAATTTAACATTTAAACTAAGTTTTTAAATTTTTTTAATAAAATTTCATTGTTTTATTCTTAAATTTTAAGTGTTAAATTTGTTTTAAATTTTAGTGAAATTTTTTTTTAAATGAGTTTAAGTGTTAAATCTATATTACGTGAAATCATTGTCGAACTTCGAACACCAAAGCTTACGGACAAACTGAGGACAGGATGCCTAGGCGCGGTTAGTTTTCGACGTGTTTAAAATTGAACACTTAAAATAATTTTTAAAAAGTAATAGTGAAGGTAACATGTTTTAGTTAAAAATTATTAAATTATTTCTTAAAGTTTTAACTGTTAAATTTGTTTTAAAGTTTAGGGAAAATCATTATTATTTTTTAAAAATGAGTTTAAGTGTTAAATCTATATATTACGTGAAAACATTGCCTAACTTCGAATAAGCTTACGAACCAACTAAAGACAGGATGCCTAAGCGCGGTTAGTTTTCGACGTGTTTAAAATTTAACACTTCAACTAATTTTAAAAAAAAAGTTAGTGAAATTTCATGGTTTTATTCTTAAATTTTAAGTGTTAAATTTGTTTTAATTTTTAAGTGTTAAATTTGTTTTAAGTGTTAAATTTGTTTTAAGTGTTAAATTTGTTTTTTTTTTCTTTAAATGAGTTTTAAGTGTTAAATCTATATTACGTGAAAACACTGTCGAACTTCTAACACCAAAGCTTGTGGACCACCTAAGGACATGATGCCTAGGCGTGGTTAGTTTTCGACGTGTTTAGAATTTACACTTAAACTAATTTTTAAAGTTTTTAATGAAATTCAATGGTTTTATTCTTAAATTTTAAGTGTTAAATTTGTTTTAAATTTTAGTGAAAATCATTATTATTTTTTAAAAAATGAGTTTAAGTGTTAAATCTATATTACGTGAAAACATTGCTAAACTTCGAACACCAAAGCTTACGGACCAACTAAGGACATGATGCCTAGGCGCGATTAGTTTTCGACTTGTTTGAAATTTAATACTTAAAAATTTTAATGTAATTTCATGGCTTTATTCTTAAATTTTAAGTGTTAAATTTTTTTAAAATTTTAGTGAAAATGATTATTATTTTTTAAAAATGAGTTTAAGTGTTAAATCTATATTACGTGAAAACATTGCCGAACTTCGAACACCAAAGCTTACGGACCAACTAAGGACAGGATGCCTAGGCGCGGTTAGTTTTCGACGTGTTTAAAATTTAACACTTAAACTAATTTTCTAAAAATTTTTAATAAAAATTATTATTATTTTTAAAAAGTTTTTAAAAAGCTTATGAAAAACATTTAAGTGTTAAATTTAAATACGTGAAAACATGTTGAATTTATGACACCGCAAGACTTACGGACCAAAGGACGGGATGCTAAATCTGGTTAGTTTTCACGTATTTAAATTTAAAACTTAAATTTGAAAACATTTTATTATTTATAAAAATATTTTGTATAGTTAAAAATCAAAAGAAAATACTTAAAACATTAATAATATTAACATTAAGATAGGATAGAAATTGACCTGACTAATAATGGGCTGGAATTGATATTATTGGGCTTTGAAGAATTGCAGCCTAGGCCTGACTCCCGAGCACACACGTCACCATCTCTAGTCTCACGGCAAAGCACTCCTCCACCACCGTGATCGGAAACGAATCTCCGTCGTTGATTGTCACGAATCACGATTTACGAAGCCCAATGTTGTTTTGAAATAACCGTTAGAACCGCAAAACAGAGCAGATCTCGGTGATGCCTCGGCGGCAGATGGATGAGTCTTCTATAGCGAATTTCTTCAACGCCATCGCTTTCACGCAAGTCTTCGTCACTGGATCTTCACTAATCACTCCGACGATCCAATTTATTAGAACAGAACCATAACCGTAAGAGATTCTCTGAAACACTGATCAATTAAGAATTAGGTTTTTCTACAAAGAGGACTTTTGTATAGAGGATTCGATTCTAGTTAATTAATTTCCTTTTTTCCCCTTCTTTTATAAAACAAAATATTACCGTTACATTACATATTCCCCGTTACCGTTGAGAGAGTTACCGTTGCATACAACGTTTACTTCAAACGTATATATTATATCTAGGGGTACGAGTTGTTTTACGATTTCAAATGTATTTAGAAGACTAGAAGAAGAAAAAAAAACGGTGATAATCTTATTAATAATTGTTGTATTCATTTCATACAATAACATCAATTTTATTTATTAATTTATTTAAATTAAACTAATTATTTATATTTAATATTTAATTAAAATTTATAGTGCTATTTGTGTAACTTTTTAAATGTAGTGTTATTTTTGGAAGAAAAACTTATTTTAATGCTATCTTTGTCAATCTACCTATAAAATATTTTGTATTAATTAAAAGCTCAAAAACCCTAAAACTCATGGATTCATATGAATCTTAAAAAAGAAAAAAAAAAAAACTACTAAAATTTGGAAATCATCTAAATATACCGCATATCAATTAATTTATATAACTTTATTTTAATATATATATTCATTTGTATCGAATACGACAAAAATAAAGATTTTGTATTAATTAAAAAGCTCAAAAATCCTAAGACCTTATATTCATATAATAATCTAATAATCTAAAAATATAAAAGAAAAGGTAACTAATAAAATTTGAAAATTATCTAAATATACCGCATATCAATTAACTATATTCTGATATGTATATATTCATTTATTTCGAATACGACAAACATAAAAGATTTTGTATTAATGAAAAAGCTCAAAAACCCTAAAACCCATAGATTCGCATAAAAATAACTAACAAAATTTGGAAATTATCTAAATATACCTCATATCAATTAATTTTGGCGTTATATTAATTATATTAAATATTTATTTTCTACAATTAACTATTTAGATATGTATATAAAATGGTACTTTATAAACAGTATATAAATACATAATGGCTAAGTACTAATGAGAGATTACGGTGGGCGCGCAACGTTGAATAGTTCAGTTCTAGAGAATTACTAAAACTTGCAAACTCTCTGATAAATCTAAATATAAGTATCTTGACAATAAATAAGTAAGAAAAACTAGAAATCTCTTCCACATCTGCTCTCTTGCGTTGTTAAGATATGGATCTCTCGCTCTCCGGTGGGGATTTTAGGTTTGCTTTCAACAATGTTAAATTTTCCGATCGTCTTCTTCGGATCGAGATCACCCGTAGCAGCGGTGCCGGTGATGAGGTTAGCTGTTCTAGTGTCGTCGATTGGGCTAGGGATCGCAAACGCAGAAGAGAGGAAGATGTCACTGACACTAATTATACCAATGGTTATTTTTTGTGTTTTTATTTTATTTTTGCCTTAACATGAATATATATATATATATATATATAAAGTAGGAAATGTTTATTATTTTTCAGATGCTTGTCACGTGGAGTCTGATTTAAACATGAACTCGTGTGAAATGCGTAACGAGAACAGCAACAACAAAAAACATGAAGAAGCATTGGTAATGGCTGAACAAGAACCAAAATCAGGTAATATATATTTTTATCTTTGCATGTGATTACTTAGTTCTTTGGATGATTCAATGGTGTTTGCAATTTCAGGTGGTGAAGATCATGAGATTGAGAGGGTCACTAATAATACTTCAGTTCTAAAAGTTAAAGAATTACATATAAGCTCTGCAATTTTGGCAGCCAAAAGTCAATTTTTCTTCAAGGTATATATATGATGTATCTTACTCAATTATTTTATACAATTAATAAAATTAAATAAAACAAACCATATTATATCAATTATTTGTACCATGGTTGAGATAGCTCAGTCTAATTTATGTTTTGTCACAGCTATTCTCTAATGGAATGCTTGAGTCAGAGCAAAAACAATTGACATTGAAAATAGATGCTTCTGGTACTGTAATTGTACACTTAAAGAATAACTTTTTTTGCTTTCTGATGATGATAATATTTGTGAAAATAATTTGGGAGACTTAAACATAACTTTTTTTTTCTTTTTCTTTCTTTCTGATGATGATATTTGTGAAAATAATTTGGGAGACTTGTGTAAATTGCAGAGGAAGCTGCTGTAATGGAGCTCTTGAACTTCATGTATAGCAATTCACTATCAGTCACGGCGCCCTCTGCTTTACTCGATGTGCTAATGGCGGCCGACAAGTTTGAGGTTGCTTCGTGTATGAATTATTGCAGCCAATTGTTGCTCAAAATGCCCATGACATTAGATTCTGCATTGCTTCTTCTTGATCTTCCTTCGAGTTTGCTAATGGCTGATTCAGTTAAGCCTTTAACCAATGCTGCAAGGCAGTTCATCGCCTCTCGTTACAAGAATATGTCCAAGTACTTTTCTTTAATCGAACTTTCAAAGCATAAAAAATAAATTCATTCATTCTCACATTTTAAGTGTTTTGATAGGATTACAATGGAGGAGTTGATGGCTTTACCGTTAGTAGGTATCGAGGCGATGCTAGCGAGTGACGGTCTAGAGATCCAATCTGAAGACATTCTATACGAAGTTGTCTTGAAATGGGTAAAATCAAATTACTCAGTTGTCGAAGAACGCCAAGAAATACTAGGCTCTCACCTCGCTCGCTACATCCGTTTCCCTCACATGACAATTGGCAGACTCAAGCATATCTTGTCCTCAAACGACTTCACACCTTCTGTGGCATCAAAACTAGTCATTGAAGCTCTCTTCTTCAAAACAGAATCGTTGGCCCACCAACGCTTTCTACTAGCCCATGAACAACCCGCCTCAACCAGCCGCTGGTTTGCTAAACGAGCCTATGTACAAAGACCCATAAAAATTGTAGAGTTCGCGGCTCCTCGGCCCCAATGCATCATTTATTTGGACTTAAAACGGAAAGAATGTGAAAGCATCTATCCAGCAAGCAGGATATCATCTCAACCGTTTACCTTAGGAGGACAAGGGTTCTTTCTCTCAGCTCAATGCAACATGGACCATCTATGTATAATCCACTGTTTTGGATTGTTTATTGGGATGCAAGAAAACGGGTCAGCGAGTGCGACTGTGACTGTGGACTACGAATTTTCAGTAAGGTCAAAGCCAACGATGGAATTTGTGGGAAAATTCAAAGGAAACTATACGTTCAGCAGAGGTAAAGCTGTTGGATGCAGAAACTTGCTAGCTATACCATGGGATATTTTCACAGCCAAGAATTGTCCCTACTTCATCAATGATGTTCTTCATCTCCGGGCCGATCTCTCCATCCGCCTTTAGAACCAACCATATCAATTGAATCTCTTTAATTGCAGCCTTTTTTCTTTCTATTGGTTAATGGCAATGATAAGCCACAAGTACTGCTTTAGGTTGCGTGCATCTGAAGCAACCATGAAATTCAACAATTCCATCTAATGTATAATATTATTTTCATGCATGTTTTGATCATCTTTGTCTTTGTTTTAAAGTATGTGCCTCCTGAAACTAATTGTGGATCCAAGATAATAGTTTCAGATGCAAAAGATACAATGTTGAAACAGAGACATTGTATAATAACACGATATTACAGGAAAACATACAGAAAGAAAGCTGGTTTATTTGAAAATGAATCTATTCGCTTCCTGCGATCTTCTTCTTCAAGGATTCAATATCCTCAGCCAATTCCTTTCTGCTTGACTGAAACAAGATGATATCATTTCATGTCAGATCATTGATGCTTACAAGTATCCAAATAAGTATAGTTTTGTTACCTTGAAGAGAAGGTATCTGTAGACAAACCATCCGGTGTACCCGAGACCGACAAGTTCCATTACTTTCGGAAGCTACAAACACACACAAAAAACATCATATGACTCAAACCAAAAGGGTTTGACATGATTTCAAAAGGGTATATTTAAAGATTTGTTACCAGAGGAACAGAGTTGATGGCACCAACAACAATGGAAGATAACCAAACAGCAACAATGGCTCCTCCTCCATATATAAGTACAGTCGATTTGTTCTCAAGACCATCCCACTGCACAAACAATCAAAACATAACACACAAAGTCAAAGCCAAACCAAAAAACTCGGTTTTTTCTTTGATAAATGGCTCACCTTTTCCTTCAAATCTGTGATGAGTTCGTTGGTGTCAATGGACGAGGTGTCTTCTGAAGAAGCTCTTGTCTTCATCAATTCAACTTTTTGCAATCCATTCCCTGCAATTAAACCGGAGAACCAAATGTTTTGGTTTAGCTTAGTGAATTTAAACATTAAACCCCCAATTTCGGTTTTGAAATGTATCACACTTGCACCATCCAAACCGGATCTACTAACCCGGGTCAATCAACCTGAATTTGTGAATTTTAACCACTAACCGAACCACCGCCGCATCGCTAAAATTTTAATTCCGGACTAGCGATACACACGATTTCTCGGGAAAGTTATCGAATCCAGAAAGAGAGATTGTGTAAAATAAATGGTTCACCTGAAACTAGCTTCAACGGAACGGTGAGAGAGGATCGGCCAAAAGAGCGAGGAGGAAGCGGAGGAAGGTAAGGGACGGCGGAGCAACGGGTGGAGATGGCGGGGACACGTGGAACTATCACGGTCACAGAAGACGAAGCTGCTACTGATATCGCCATTGAAGCACACCGATAACTTCTTCTTCTTCTTCTTCTTCTTCGTCTGCCTACTTCTCTGCTCGATTTTTTTGGCAGCTGCGCTTTTTACTAAACAAGATTCCGCTAAGTGACACGTGGAAGCTTCTCGCGCTCTTATTGGTCGCTCCTCTTATCTTTAGAAATCCAACTCAGTGGTGTTTATAGAATGCTCGCATTCTGTGGGGTTTTAAGGCCTGTTTTAGGCCCATCTACTTACTCTCTAGGCCTCTTAAAGCCTATCGTTTAATTGATCTCTTTTGTTGTCTTTTCGTTTTCATTTTTCTAGACGAGGAAAAATAGAAAATTATGCAAACCTTTGATTTTTGTGTCTTAACTATCCACGAACAAGGGACTTTAAATACTTCAACTATAAAATTCTTTTTCTATAAGCTGACCATAAAAAGAGAAACTTATTTTAATAAAAGAAAATTAGTAAGAAATTTGGCAAAAGATGTTGATGTATTCTTAATGAGTTTTATATCAAGACGAAGAGAAACAGAAAGCGACATTTATAGAAGGTGAAGAGTGAAGATGAACCTGTTGAAGTAGTCGTTGAAGTAGTTCATAGTAGTACAAGAAGTAGTTCAACAGAACAGAATTACGTGAAGCAAGTATTTGAAAATTGGTAAAGTCAGTCTATGGCGGTTAGTTGTGGATACTAGAAGCTTGGAGAAGATTCTAAAAGACTGAAGAGTTTTCTTTTAATATCAGAAAAGGAAACATGAAGAGAAAGGACAATTTCCTAATCCTTAAAGAAAAAGGAAATTGTCTATTCCTATTAGTGTTAGAATAGGAAATCGGTTTGTTGTATAGCCACGACCTGTTTAGTATAAATAGGGTGTTTAGGCTTTAGAAAAGCTCAGCACAAAAGAGCAAGAGAATTCTTAGACATTAAGGTTATGAGGTTTTTTGTAAAAAAAGCATAATGCTTAAGGGGGCTAAGGGGTTTGTCTTGAGAGAGTTCTTGATAGGGTTGTGATCTAAAAACGAGAGATTGGGAGAATAGAAAATAGTTTAAAGAGAAACCTTGTATACGTATTTTCTATTAATCAAAAGAGTTTTTGAAGAAATCCGTGTCTCAGTTTGTGACTCAGTTCCTGACTCAGTTTCTGACTCAGTTCCTGACTCAGTTTCTGACTTACCCCATGAACTAGCTAGTTCCATATATACGATAGCTCTTCCGTTTTTAAAAGAGTGTAAATAAATAACAAACCCACTAAAATTGAGTGATGGTACAGCTCTTCCACCCTAATACTTCGCTGGCGCTTTCAACTACTAACCAATTCTCCATTTCTCTCCTGTTATTTAACAAAATAGTTGAAATTATAAAATTTTAATCTAATCTTATTTGGTAGTTTTTGTATGATTAATATTCTCAACATACGTACTCATCTTGGAAGGGTTGACATGAAAAAAAGACAAAGAGTTCGCTATCTAATTTTTTCCCACCAGAATTTAAAATTATTTGAGTCCATAGATGTGAGATTGAATAATCACACAAGTTCACAACATATAGTATAATGGTTTATATTAATATTGTTGGTGTATTAACATTTCAAAAAAGTTAAAATATTTTGACATACATTTTTTGGTAAAAATGATAATTACTCATTTGCGATGACAATCTAATTTTAGACTGTATTTAAAGAAAAAAACGAATGGTTTTAGTAACGATTCCATAAAACAATTGTACACATCAAAATAATCCACCATAAGATATAAAAATAAGTCAAAGAATAGAATTTAAAAAAAAAAAAATTGAAGAAAAATAAATATATTGATAAGACTTTAACTAGTGGTAATAGTATTTTTATTTTATCATTTTTCAAAGCTATTTTATCACTAAATTAACAGAATGGTTGAACAAAAATTCAATATTTCGTATAATCATATTACATGTGAATCGTAAGAATACTAAAACCCAAAGAAATTGCAGGATCGTTACGTCATCCGCATATAATCATAGCCGACATTTTATTTTTCCTTATCATCTCCACTGAAAATTTTGATTAAAGAAAAAACTCCAACTTCAATATAATTTTGGGTCAATAAGCTTTTCTTTTTGTTTTATAAAAAAAAATTAAAAAAAAATAAACATCCACGAATTAATACAGCTCAAACCCAACTTTCTCTCCCCTTTTTTCTTACAAGTTTGAATATCAAAGTACGGTCTCTTTTTCTCTATAATATTTTTTTAATTAACCATACACATTCATCAAATCCATATTCATGCAGCTGTTACATTTTATAATATGTCCTCTTACTTCCTTTTGAGTGTGTATATGTGCTGCTTAATTATATTCCCTCATCACAACCTCAATCTCAATCATGTTTCCAAATCTCAATCATGCTTCTTCCACTTTGATTCTTATCTATCTGGATCACAATTCTATTCACAGCCTTTAATCAAAGATCATAGCATTTTTTTTTTTTTAAATCACCATCTGATCATGAAGATCACCAAAACTCATTTGGGTCTTCTTCATCGTCGTTCTTGATTTTCTCTTGGCAATGGGATCTACAAATCTTGGTCTCATCATCATCGTCTTCGTCTTTTGCGTCATCTCTAATCTACAATCGATGGTTCATTGCATCAACAATATTCAAGATTTGGACGATCTGATCCGTTCATACGCGGCTCATGCCACTACTAGAAGACACACAGGCTCGTTGTACGAAATTTCACTTCCGTCGAATCTTTCCGACATCAAAGCATCGGTTGTTACGGTCCGTAACAGTATGTTCTGGAGAAAAGGAACAAACTTTAGTGGTGTTTTGATTCCTCCGATGGTTAAAACAACGCCGTACGCTAAAAGAATAGCTTTTGTCTATGAGAGTTTCGGTGATCACTCTTCATCGGTTTACTTCCGGTTAGCTGATAATTACTCTTTCGTTTCTCCGGTTATTGGATTTACCGGTTACGACGCGACCAACATGAATGATCTCAAAAAATTGAATCTTTCGATCAAGAGAGACAAGCCAATCTTGATCAAATTCGATCCTTACGCTTCTCGTAATCGCTCAAGAATCAAATGCATCGTCTTTGGAGATAACGGTTTGTTGTTGAATATCAGCAATACGATACGGAATTACGAATGTGCCACTACGCATTCTCATGGGCATTACGCACTTGTTGTCCTAAACCAGCAGAAACCCAAACCGGAACAGGAACCGGAGTTGGTTCGGAGAAATTGGTGGTGGATTGTTTTAACCGGGATTGGAGTTTCGGTTATTGTTGTTATGGTGATCATTGTTGTGGTGAAAGTAGTGAAGAAGAAGAGGTTAAGAGATATGGAGAGAGAGTCGGAGAAGAATGAAACGATCGGAGATGTTTGGATTGGTCGGAGTAGAATGCCGGCGGCGACGATGGTTAGAACTCAGCCATGTTTGGAATATCATGAAGATCTTCCTTCATCTTCGAATATACCTTGATTTTTTTGACTTTTTGTAGTTTCTGGCTCTGTGTATAGAAAGTTACATTCAAAGTTTCAAGTTTGTTTCCTTTTGAACTTCTTCCCGTTTTTCTTATGTATGAGTAAACTGTTCGTCGTTTTCGCCCTCCATTTCTCTTAGTTATTATGGAGGGGGCAGTTCATAAATGTTTGAATTACTCAGCTAATAACTTACTATTGGTTGGTGGATTGTGAAATACTGAAATGTAATAATATATTATAGTAAATTAAATATTCGAAATGTAAAACACTAGATTTGAACCCGCGGGCTATAATTTTAAAAAAAAAATCTAAATATAATTATTTTGTTTATTAATAGAGAGTATAATATAATATTTCGACCTATTTTATAAATGTACTATCCATATATCTATATTAATAGTTTAAAGTATATTAATTGTGTTTTAGGTTTAAATAGTATATCTATATATACACTTAAACGACATTTGGCTTTCTCCTTCTTCTTGCCTCAGTTTAGGAGAAATGTTTTTCTTGCGGTACAACGCGGAACTATTATTTTTTTAAAAAGATGTTTCTTCCTTAAACTTCCAAATCTAGATTTTACCCCGCGGTACACCGCGGGTCGATTTTTTTATAACTAAAAAATTATTTTGCAAAATTTTAAGTTGTATTTGTTTTGTTAATATTGTTTATTTTGTTTAGTGTTTCTGATTTTATAATTAAATTTTTATTTTTAATTCTAGGATTTCATCCATAGTATATTGTTTAATATTAATATTGATCTAAACCCATTGCACCATATAACCCCGTCCCGTAAAATTAAACATCATTTGTTATTTTTTTTTAATAATATTTTTATCCACTACGGGTCGCAGGTTCATGCGGATAAGCCCGTAGAGAGTTGCGGGTCGACCGCCAAAAGAGAAGCTATCTTTTGAAACCCTTTGTTTTGTTTAGAGGTTTTAAGAAAATATCCCTAAAAAATAATTTTCATTATATGAAAAAAAAAAAGAAGTAGAAGAAATTGTAGTATCAACTTTCCCGATTTTTACATCACTCGTTACAATTAATTTTTTTTTTTGCTGATAAAAATTAGAAGATAACTAAGTCGAGATTTTTAAAAAGATTGTGTAGAGATTTTTGGTAAATTGTTGAGAACATATTTGATTCCAAAATCTTTACTTAAATAGATAAGAAAAGATTTTGTAGAGACTTTTGCTAAATATATGAGAAATGAATTTCAATTAAAAATATTTACTTAAATAAAACAAATCTAAATAATTAATGCTAATGGCATGTCATTGTAAATACTTCTCAACTTCAGGATTTATTTGCTAATTGTGATCCAAAAATGTATATATAGATATAATTCAAATAGACGGATGGGACTACAAAACATGAATAAATAAACACTAATATAGTTTGGTAATATCAGTGTAACAAGTAATTAATTAGACCAAAATGGCAGTAATCGTAATTAATCTAGTAATGTTAGGACAATTAATTTGCTGAAAAACTCTGTGAATACGGTGCGTCAACATGATATTTTTGTAAATTACATGTGCGGGTAAAACTTCTTATTAAGAATGCTTTTCAATTAATATTAGATAGATGTTGGATTGAACCAATATATTTCTGCTATTTACGTAAGTATCAAATATTTGTGTACATCAGTTTAAAGAAAAAAAGGTTATCTAACAATGATGGAAGTCGTATACTCGTATTTGAATAGTAATTGACGCATAGATTAGCCAAACAAAAATGAACTGTTTTTTATTTGTTTTTTTTTTTTTGAAAAAAACTTCATATTAAACTGGGCTTACCAATGGGCTTAAGCCATGAGTTTACAAGGGAGAATAGATACAAAACGGGAATTCAAAAATACAGGCCCAACAACAAAAATGGATCTTGCCCTGCTGAAGACCTAAAGCAGAGACTTGGCATCAGATCGGCGAAAGCAAGTCCGACAACTTTGTGGCGGCTCTCCTGAAATCGGATGCGAGATTAAAAGCTTTCGGACTTCAATCCCATCTCCAATCCGGCGACCCACACGACCCATCACAGAACTTCCGAATGCACAAGTCTCCGACTGGAGGCTCTACGATGTCGTATCCCATGCCAAGCAATCCCGACATACTCAGACCTAACCCCATTTCCCTTCTCAGTCAAAATCTGAATTCACCGAACTAGGGTCTGCTGTGGTCTGATAAGTGGAAACCAATACGTGATGATTTGAGAGCTTATTAATTAGACTTCCTTTTTAAATAAGTTTCATCAAATGAACTGTGTTTATACTCGAGAACTTTGAGATAATAAGTAATATGTGGTTTGATTAGTAGTTAACGCATAGCTGATATATATATATAGTATTACAAGTAATGTCCATATGATATAAAATACGGTGCAACAAGATAAAAGATCAATCGTCACGTAAACTTTAAACAAATTAAAATCTGGCATGGACGAAAAAGGTGACGAAGAAATGTCACTACTAATCCAATAAATTAAGGAGAATCAAATGATTAGGAGAACAATCGATCTGTAAAGCATATAACGCAATTTTAAACATATACATATATTATCTAATATAATTTTGTTTGTCACAATATGCTTAGTTGGTGAATAGTTTAAATACTCATATTTAAACAATTAAACACCTAATGTACATGATCTTATATCAGAATTAAGGCGGGCATAGGTTATTGAGTATGAACGGAGGATATGATATCAAACCGTCCAGAATGGCCGTGGAAATGTGGTGGTTTGCGGCCTCCGTTGCATGAATTCCATCCCAGCTCACGTAATTGTGTGGATCACGGCAAGCTTTGGCCGTCGCAGAAAAATTTTCAATCACTTTGGTGTTACCACAAAATAACTTCTGATCGAAATTGTATGGACGTCCACCGTATCCACAACAAGCTTTAATACCGTGTTTCATACCTTTGATATGAAAACAAAACAAAAAGATTCGGTCAAGTAAAATACCAAAAATTGAATATTATCGGTTAAGTACAACTAAACCAAACAGGTTACGACATAATCTGCGGCAGCGGCGGCGGCAACGAGAGCGGCATCTAAACGAACACAAAACCTACGGCAGCGGCAGCGGTTGCCGCAACATCGGCGGCGACGAAACGAAAAACAACATGCGGTAGTGTTTGCCGCCGCCGCCGCTGCCGCTGCCGCCTGTGGCGACGAAACGAACAGACTAAACGTACCGTAGGAATTGGGGTGTTGAAAGAGGTCGAGCAATATCTTGTGAGTGTCTAAGTAAATTACGGTAGCGTTTCTAAGTTGGGTTCTGGTTTCGGATAACGTTTTTTTCAGTAACGCGTTGTAATATTTGACGGCTTTGTTTACAGGAATGAGACATCCAAATTTGTCTAAATCCGAGACGGTATGAGTGTAACCGGTTAAAATCGCCGGGTAACATCCAACTGGTGCTAAATTTAATACCAAAAATGTCAGACCACCTATCCCATATATCTCCTACATTCAAGAGCAAATACCTTAGCGGATACAAAGCATTCAAAATAGAGAATATGGAATTATACTCGTCAACTAGACTAAGAGAAATCCATTAAAATGTTTTGAGATAGAGAAAAGTTTTAAAATCTATAAAAACTCAACTTTTATACACCAAAATCCGACGGTGTTAGCGGTTGGTACCTTAATCGTTCCAGCAATTTGGCCTATGACTTGTGGAAGATATTGTTTCACTCTCTCAACTCCAATACTCGCTAAATTGGATGTGAAATCGTTTTGGCCAATATAAAACGTGTATAGCGATTTTCCGAAAACATTTTTAGACGGTAAGATCTTCAATCCTAAAACACAAGGGAATTTATGCCATTTGTTTTATTACATTCATCATTCTATTCATTTATGTATTATCGTTTAGAGATTAGAGATATACCTGGTCGGTCCAAAGAATGTGACTCGTCGACATTAACCTTGAATTGTTTCATCTGATTCAGCTGAATAGCGAGTGAGAAAGGGCTTATTCCAGAGACAAATAAAGACGTGTTTGGCAAAAGAACTGTGGATGCTAACGTCGCAAAGTTTGCGCCATGCCGGAAATCCGATCCAATAGATTGCAAATATGGGCTTAGGAAAGGCATTCCAAGGGATTTAGCTAAAAGAAAACAACAATACATTTAGTACTATAATGATCATTGCCGGCTAATACAAGATATAAAACGTGTATTATATTTTGGATCCTAAATAATACAATTCTTTTTTGTAGGTTATCGAGGGTCAGTATGCAAATACACACTGCGGGTATAATACATAGAACCGGTCTTAGTAGTGCTATCATCTCATCTATCTTAAATATTTGAAAGTATTTGTTAGTCGTTACCTAGAAAATCAATGATGAGACGACCGTCTGAAGCACGACCGGCCGGTTTCTTGAAATAAGTCATTCCCCATGGACCGGATTGAGCCGGAAAAGCAGCCCAAAATCCGCCAGTGTCGGAATTCGAGTCTCCGAAGTTGAAAATTGCTTCGAAATCACATTTTGAATCAGCTTTATGCCCATAAAGCATCACAATAATCAAGACTAGAAGAGAGAACGATCTTCTTCTGTTTAGATCGGAAGCCATGCCTCTCTCTCTCTCTCTCTCTCTCTCTCTCTCTCTCTCTCTCTCTCTCTCTCTCTCTCTCTCTCTCTCTCTCTCTCTCTCTCTCTCTCTGAACAAAATGTGTGTTTGTATGTGAGAGTGAGGATGAGATATTTGGTGCTATATGATTCTTGTAATCATCCGGTCCGTGACTCAATGTACGTGTAATTGTGTGTTGGCGTTAATGTTTGTGTGTTATGCGTTTTCTAGCTAGAGTAAAAACTAAAAAGTACCAAATGTCCAACAATTCCCTTTAAACCCAAAGAGAGATAAATCAAGCCCATTCTATAATATATTGATTTTAAGGTTCAATATATATCAGAATTTCTGACCATACATCAAGAGACTAGTTTGGATAACTAATATTTCTTTCACTCACAGAAACAACACATCACTCTCGATTTATAGATTGGATATGATTATATGAATTAGATGTCATGTATGCAACAACCCAATTGTGACATATCTCTTGTTATGCTACAGAGTACAGAATAAAAGATTTTTTGTGAACTTTTTGCAAAATACACTGCCAATAAAGAACATAATAGAAGAAATTGGATCTAATAATTCAACAACGGCCCAATAATAACCCAATAAAGGAGGGTCTTGGATCG